GCTCCATGCTGCATAGGAGCCTACTTAAAGTTCTCTCTTCTCCTTTTGCTCCCCACTGCCCCTCTTTTTCTCTCAACAACAACAAAGTTTCTCTTACCCAGAAGTTTCTCTGTAAACGTGGCAATTGTAGATTAATCCCAGAAAGCTGACTTACCTGATTATGGATTGAATATAGACTTGGAAGACAAAGTCTTTTGTCTGAACGTACACTGTAAATAGAAGCATACTTTTGAGAAACAATAACATTTGAGACTTTTATAACCAAATATTATATTGCAATGTAAAATACAAGTAAAAACATAGCAGTTTTATATACTTAGCCTATATTCCCCAAAGGTCAGCTATGGACTGAATATTTGTGCCCCCCCTCCATTCATATGTTGAAACCCCATTCCCAAGGTGATGGTATTAGGAAGTGCTTAGGTCATGAAGGTGGAGTCCTTATGAATAGGATTTGTGAATTTATAAAAGAGACCCTGAGGAGACCCTTACCCCTCTCTTTTACCATGTGAGGACACAGTGAGAAGGTGCCATGTGTGAACCAGAAAGTGAGCTTTCACCAGACCCTGAATCTGCCAGCTTCTAGAACTGTGAGAAAGAATTGTCTGTTGGTTAAGTCCCCTACTCTGTGGTATCTTATTATAGCAGCTGAAATGGATTAAGACAAAGTCATACTTTTCTTATTTAAATTAGGACAATTTTTTTTTGAAGAAGGAGAAGAAGAAATGAATAGTATGTTCAAAGATTTCTCAGTCTCAATAAGGATGTAGATGTTCTGTGTTAACAGACATTCAGCACTTAGCCAAAGTATAGGATTTTAAAAGTAAATGTGAGAGAAATTAGTGAGCTTATTTTTATATTATCCGTCAACAGTGTTATGTTAATTTTGACAGGATTGCTGATTGGATAATATTGATTATCAGGTGTTGTGCAGGAAGTACTGCTAAAAGCATCTGGACTTAACACAGATACCTCCGTTTCTAAGCCCTCAAAATCTTCAGAAACGATAAAAAGAATCTTTACCTAAAAATTCTTTTAGTTTCCAAAGGTAAATTTAAGATTGTCAGATCAAAATAAGGTTATTTTTTTCTTTTCTTTTCTTCTTTTTTTTTTTTTTGTTTGTTTTGTTTGCCATTTGGAAGCCTTACATTTTTATGTAGGCAGATATATCAGTCACCTTTCATGGTTTATGGATTTGGGGACATGGTTAGAAAGACCTTCTCTACTTTACTTTTTTTTTTTAATTCACGCTTTCTTTTATTATTTTTGAGGCTTAATTTTTTTAAAATATTGAAATCTTTACTCTGTAAGAATTTGTGCTGGCATAAGTATGTCTTCAGTATAGACATTTTTACTTTCATAGTCAAATCGTTGTCTTTTATGATTTCTGGTGCAGGTATTATGATTTGTTTTCTTTTAATGACATTTCTTGGGAGCGATGTGAAGAGCAGGCTCTGGAGTAGGACAAACCCAGTTGGCAGGCTAGAAACTCCATTTGAAGTAGTTTCCAAGGGAAAGTACCATTTTTCTTTCTTTCTTTCTTTTCTTTATTTTTTTTTTTGAAAGTACCATTTTTCGTTTCAACTCAGCTCAGTTAACATTTACTGAGAATCTACTCTGTTACAGATACTGTGTTAAGTGCTGGAAGCACAAAGATGAAGAAGCCATATTTCTGTTCTCAAATGGGGGAGACAAATACAGAAACAGAATTACAGATCAGTGGTATGTATAATGAGAAAATAATGTAAGGACCAATGAGTACCCCTCAGATGGGCACTCATCTAGCCTGGAAGGGAGGAGGGTGTCTGAGAATGCTGAGGGAAGTGGAGCCGAGATAAGTTTTTGCCCCCATTTGGATATTTATAAAATTAGGATAAAACAATTTAATGAAGCATCTGAAATCACCCTCCAATTAATATAATTTCCTCTGCAAATTCATTCTGCCTGTGAGACACAAGGAAGAACATATTACTTGCAAAGATACATGTTTAATATAATTGAAAAGAAAGAAAAAATTGGGACAGAAGCTGCTTTGATCAACAATTGAATACAACTCCCAGACCAATGGAGAGAGGCCCCCAAGCCAGAGAGAGTCATCCTGGTGCACACTGATTATGAGAGAGGGCTCCACCAGAACTCCACTCTCCCCACATAGCCAAATGTAGCTCACAAATTCTGAAACCCAAACTAGAAGGCAGAGAACTTGAAGCCTGGAGCCTGAAGAGGCAAATTTTAGGGATCTTATGCCTATGTAACAGACAGGAGATAAAAACCACTAAGGTGCTTAACTGGAAAGTGTCAGAGCTGATGAAAAGACTTGGAAATCACCAACAGGTAGTGAGTAGGAAGATGGGAGTGGGTGAGATTGCCCAGGGTTACTAAGTTGCAGAGGACTTAATTTTTGGAGAGATTCTTGATCTCTTTGAAAACATGATGAAAGCTCTGGACCATCTCTCCAGAAAAGTGTACGTTAAAGATCACACAAACATACATAATTTCAGGGGACTGTCAAATTAAGAATATTCAATGTAGAGAGGAAAGAGAAAAGATGTGAAGAAGAAGAAGATATTTGGATGATGATGAGGATACCAGGAAAGAGGCCAAAGAAAGACCCAAGAAGTACAAGAAGAACCAGAAGAGTAAAGTATCGGGAAGTTGCAGGAGAATAGAGATGTGAGGAGGGTGTGAGCAACAGTGTCAAGTGCTTTAGAGACTTAACTAAGGTAAGGACTGAAACATATCTTTCACACTTATGGTTAAGAAATCATTGATAACTGTGAATAAGTTTCTGAGGGGTGATGGGTAATGGTAGTTCCAGATTTTTTTTTTTTTTTTTTTTTTTTATGATAGTCACAGAGAGAGAGAGAGAGGCAGAGACACAGGCAGAGGGAGAAGCAGGCTCCATGCACCGGGAGCCCGACGTGGGATTCGATCCCGGGTCTCCAGGTTCGCGCCCCGGGCCAAAGGCAGGCGCCAAACCGCTGCGCCACCCAGGGATCCCGATTTTTTTTTTTTTTTAATCCAAGAAGTGTTTAGGTGTGGCATTTGGGTAGAAGTGAGGGTAGGGGATTTGTCTTGATGGTGTATTTGCAGAGTACTAATATAGGGTTGAAAAACTGTCAACTGTCCATAGAAAGAGGTGAGGAGCTTGTGAAATCCTTCATCTGTCCCCTGGTGCCCTCATTATGATGAAGTCAAAAGCCAGAGAGCAATGGTTGAAGAAACAATATGAGTTGAGGAAACGGAGGAATTTGGTTCATTGGTAGGAGAGAGATAAAGGGCAGAGAAAATGAGAAACAAAAACAAGAAAAAGATTTTGTTTCTAAGAATGAACATGTCCTGTTTTTTTACGCTATGAATGCAGCAAGTGGCTCTTCCTAAGACCTAGTTGCTACAGCAATCTAATAAATCACTTCTGGAACACTGAAATTCACCATTTGGTCCTTTTATTAATAATACCAAAGGGGTTAAACGTCTGCCTTCCACTCAGGTCATGATCCCAGGTTCCTGGGATTGAGCCCTGCATCAGGCTCCATGCTCTGCAGGGAATCTGCTTTTCCCTTTTCCTTTGTCGCTCCCCCTGCTTGTGCTCTTGCACTCTCTCAGATAAATAAATAACATCTTAAAAAAACAACAACCAAATTGAGCTATAAGGAAATTCTTGAGAAAAACAGCTGAGTGATATTATCAAAAAGGATCTGAACCCAATTCAGATATTTGAAGCTTTTCAGTAACTTAAACTTTAAGCTATTTAATTCCCTCCCCTCACTCATATCATTCTAACATACAGCAAAACTTTTGAAACAAAATTTTTCTTTAGAAGCACCAAGAACACCTGTCCTACAACCATGACAATAGGGCCCCAACTAATATTTTTTGATGTACAGAAATTAGCTTCATTTTAATTTTTATTCAGAAATTCTACAAAGTCATGTAGGGTTCATTTAAACACAGGATGTGGGCACAAAAGCCAAGATCACTCAGGGGTTAGCGGAGGCTCAGGTGGGTCTTAGGTTTTTGCCTACCAGCTGTATCCATGTTCTTGCTTTTGTTGCCGTCTTGTTTTCTTTTCGCTCCTGAGCTTTTGAACCAGTTTTCCACTAGAGTAGCCAAGAAGATATAAGATGGTCTGTGTAACTCATGAAAAAGTGTTTCAGCCTCGAAGAGGCTGGCTTCTAAATTCACAGGGGTCCCTCATCAGTTAAAGCTGGGTGGTAGACCTAACTCATGCGACCCAGGGAAGGGCGAGCATCACCAGGTGCACTGCCCAAGTGCTGAGATCTTGGTTACTAGCAAATCTCAAGATCCACCCAGGGCTTTCTTACCCAATCGTGATGGAGCAAAACCTTCAGATTAGAAAAGGAACATAACTTCATAAGGCTCCTAGGAAGGGAGTGCAAAACAGGGGTCATTTAAAAAAATGCTCCCAAATATCAATCCCCCATAAACTGTACCCCCGACCTTGGAGGGTTAAAAATGCAGTTTATTTCTCTGGCCCTTTCAGGAGTCTTTTTTATCATTAGATTATATTCTCATATTTCCATCAAGATGCAGCAGTTGGGGGATGCTGCCTCTTTAAGGGGGCAGTAGGGTTGGGGCTCTTAAAGCCAGGGGCAGCAAACCAGCCCTGACTTAGGTTGCCATGGCTAAACTCGGCAGAAAGGACGGCAACAGTCAGGCGGTGGGTGTCCGCAAGAAGGCAGCTGTTGGTGAGGGGCCACGTGTATCTGTAGGAGTGCTTCTCCAACTCTGAGTTCTGTCCCTTTGCAGGACAGATCCCTGCAGCTGGGCTGGTGAGGGCAGAGGGTGGGACTTTAGGGCAGTCCTGCTCCTTGAGACCTTGGGCCAATATTCCTCTGACAACTTTGCTAAGGGGAACTGGTGGCTGTTTTAGGGTTCCATGCCATCCTTACTGAGAAGGAAGATGTCTCTGCATTTCTTCTCTGTCTCAGGCTTACCTTCCAGAGGCTGACGGTGTTTTCTTACCAGAGGAAACAGACATGGTGGAAGTCTGCCAGCCTGCAGAGATGGAAGGTCTTGAAGGTACTGCTAATAAGCTAATAAGGCTGTGGAATCTGGATGAAAAGCCTGAGGGTGCAGAGCCCTGCTGGTATGGTTCCCTGGACAGATGTGGGCCTGGGTGTCCAGAATTAGTGGGCATGATTTCCAAACTCTGACTTGCTAGCTGCATCACACTGAGGTCACTTTTCTGGGCCTTATTTTCCTCCCCTCATTGTGAAATGATCACTACCAACCTTGCCTGGCTACTCAGAGAGTCAAATGGTCATATACAGGTGAAGTATCTGGCGCACAGTAGGCTTAAATTGCAGTGAGTCCTGGCACCTGGCCCTTGAGTGGTTAAAGAGGCACTGAGAGGGCTGTTATGTGGGAGAGAGCCAGGTAGAGGCCTGGGGTGGTACCTGAGGCAATTAAAGAGATGTGGAAAGCAAAGGTGTTTGGCACCTGCCAGGTTCCATTTGCTCTACTGGGGGTGGGGGATGGGAGAGGGGGTTAGGGGAAAGAAGGGGGACACATTGTTTGAAGGCGGTGCTGGAGATGACTTATGGACATACATGTTACTGAGAAGTAGCCTTTCTAGACCAGACTCCTCTGAGTCCCCATCTACTCCCTCCTCAGGCCCCCACTTAAACCAAGACCCAAGCAAGTCTTGTAGTTCCTTGGCTCCTGAGGAGGATCTGGTGTCTGCCTCCCAACTGGAGGAAGAAGAAGAAGGGGATCAGGATCTGGATCCAGATCTAGCCCCAGACCCAGAGGGGGAGGAAGAAGAAGAGGTGGAGGAGGAAGAGCATGATCTCAGAGATCCAGCTGTCCTCAGTGCTATCCATAACACCCAGGTACCAGGGCAGGAGGGAGTGGGGGGACAGTTGTCCTGAACTTTCTGGAGCTCACAGACTGTTGCTAAATATTCTTCTCCTCTTCCCCACCCACTCCTTTCTAGTGCATCACCTTAACCATTTGGCCAGGACAACATGACTTCCACACCTAAGATCGGTTTGGGTTAACACCTTCTATTTCAGAGAGAGTAGAGAGACTCTCTTTTCTTTCCCTCTTTCTTCCTATCCCTCATTTAGTTTCTGATGCTCTCTTCACCTTAAAAACCAGGTCTTAGCAGGGTCGTACATAGCCTATAGGTGCTGGTCAAGCTCCTGGTACTGAGGGGAGTCCTCTTTGGCCTTGGACCCCTGTGTCTCAACAGTTTGTTCCTGATGGTTATTTCTTTAGGTTCCCACAACCAGTGGAAAGAGGCAAGGATTCCTATATAGAAATCACGGGGCACCTGGGTGGCTCATTTGGTTAAGCATCTGCCTTTGGTTCAGTTCTTGATCCCAGAGTACTGGGATCAAGCCCCATGCAGGGCTCCCTCCTCAGCAGGGAGCCTGCTTTTCCCTCTCCCTACTGCTCTCCTTGCTTATGCTTCCCCCCCCCACCATGTCTCTCTGTCTAATAAATAAACTTAAAAAAGAAATCATTCAGATTCTCCCCCAACCTACCCCTGTGATACCAGTCTTGCTTCTCCTCAAAGAAAGCAGAGAAGTCCTGACCCAGTTGATTTGGATTATGAGGGAAGGCCAGGCTACCACTGTCTTGAATATTGGAAGTGGTTGCCCTTCATGTTTTCCATATCCAATGGATGCTGATGCCTATAGAAGATACCTCAGGGGCTCACTGAGGCCTGTTTTCTCCCTCCTATTCCAGAGAGGCCTTCTCAGCTCCTCTGGAATCAAGACCTCTGGTGTGCTGGGGATGTCACTTGCTTCATTGCACTTCCTATGGCAGGTGAGTCACTTCAATCCCCATCCTGTGAGAAAGTCATGGTGTATAGAGAAAGAACATGTGGAGTGTCCCTTAGTCTGCTCTTGACCTTGTTCTGGCAATGAAGCTTCCCATGTGAGGTGTAGGTATGGGAGGTGGGAGATACCCATAATGTAGGGAAGTTTGGTAAATGACAGAGGTGGTCCTGGAACATCTGGCTGGCCATCCATATGGAAAGGAAAAGCTAGGGCCCTATTTCCACCTCCTTAAATTTCAGCAGATGAGCAGCATTGAGCTTATGGCTAGAAAGAGCACCTGCCCTTAAATTAACTGTATAATAAGAATACAACCTGGGCTAGAAGAATTGCAAGAAATCCTGCAGGGAGAATGAGGTGACAACTGCAGCTCTGACAGGGGCTTCAGATGAGTCCAAAAAGAGGCAGACAAGCATTCGCCCAGTGGCTGAAGGCACAAGAGCCCAAGAAAGACTATCACAGAGAAGGGAGAGATGGGTGCTAACTCAACAAACAGGAAAAGCACCTGCCCCCATACTGTCAGGCACTGAAGAGCTGTTTCCTAGGAGGTGACAAACTCTGTTGGGTGAGGTTCTTGTGGGAGAAAAGGCAGGTGAGAATATAAAGGTGGGAAAGCCACATGTGGCAACAAGAGCAGCATCCTGTTGGTGAGCCCTTTTCCCAGACCTCTGAATTCCATTCTCAGACGCTGGACTACCTCTCACCAGTTCCCTTCCGGACAACTTCTCCCACTGCCAGCTCTCCAGCACGGCACTTCGGACCTCAACTTCTCTCACCAGACCCAATTCTCTTCTGCAGCCTGCCAACCTCATGGCACCCTAGTTTCAGGTACTGGCTTAAGGAGCAGGCCCTCAAGTGTCTCCCCTAGATGAGCTCTTCTCTGGATGTTTCAGTACACAGTGGTTAAGGAGGGATGGGGGCCACCTACCAGCTGCCACAGAAACCTAGTTAGAGAAGTGTGAAGTAGAGCCCTTCTCCCTCACAGATGAGGAAGTGGAGGCCCGGGGGACTAAACAACTTACTTGTGGTTAGCTGGCATGGAAGAACTGAGATGAGGACTCAGAACTCCCAACGACCAGGCCAAATGGGTTTCTACTATGTCAAGATTTCCTGCAGCCAAATTGCAGGAATTTAAGCCCTGGAAAGAAATGTGAGCCCTTTGAGCTGGGGTTGTGGTATTTCATGTGGCTGATTTTGGTGGGGAGGCACGTGAACAGATAGGGTTGCCTTAGATGTCCAGTGAACTTACTAGAGGCTAATTGGATGGAATAATAGGGAGCTAAGTGCTTTCTCTCACCCAGCCCAAGTTTCTTTCTTTCTAAGTCTTCCTAGTCATCTGACCCAGCTCCACCCTCAGCACCAACGGATCTTGCAGCTGCAACAACGTAGTCGAACACCAAGGTAAAGCCTAGATGAGCAGCAGGGTTGAGGGCAGCTCATTTTCGTGCTGGGTATTCCCATGTGATTGGGTGTCTCCCCGGAGGCCCTGCACCATTAAGATTTTCCCCGTGTTGCCCACCTCTGTACTCTGTTCCATCCTTCCCAGATAGCTCCACTCCCTCCTCACCACTCCTTGGGAAGTTCACTGTGCGGGATTGGGTAGGTCTAAAGGAATGTTCCTCTGGCTTGAAGTTCCCCAGCCAAGAAGCCTTGGTCTCAGCAGCCAGATCCCTATGTTAACCTCATGACCCGAAAAGAGAAAGACTGGGTGATAAAAGTACAGATGGTTCAGCTGCAGAGTGAGAACCCCCACCTGGATGACTATTACTATCAGGTGAGTCCTAGGTGCTCTTCTCAGCCTCTGACCTTGGCATCAAATGGGCCTTCTTGGATTATCTTCCCAGCTCTTAGAGGCTATGTCCAGTCAGATGGAAGAGGCAATCACTACATGACAGGGGCCATATTTCTAAAGTTGGCATCCCAAGATCATTCCCCTTTATTTTCCTATACTTCAGACAAATGGGATTAGTTACAGTTCCCTAAACACTGAGGTTTTGTCTTCATCCTTTGCCAAGAATTTCCCCTACTCATCCTTGAAATACGGACTTTTCACTTTTTTTTTTTAAGATTTTATTTATTTATTCATGAGAGATACAGAGAGAGGGATAGAGACACAGGCAGAGGGAGAAGCAAGCTCCATGGAGGGAGCCCGATGTGGGACTCAATCCCAGGACTCTGAGATCACGACCTGAGCGACCCAGGCATCCCTGGACTTCTCACTTTTATATACTTCTGTGGGTCTTAGAAATGTCTTGTTATAAACATTAATCTACTTATTGCCTTTTGTTTTTAGATATAAAACATGAATTTTATAAATAGTGGGATTCAACTTGTTGAACTGGCTAAATGCTGGAAGACATTTTAACTCCTTACCCTCTGCTCCCTATCTCCCTTTTATTTATGAGGCAAGCTTTGCTTACAGGCTTTTGGATTGTTTAAGCTGTGTCCCACTTTCTTTTCAACTTCCGTGAGCCCTCAAAGGGGTTTCCACCTTTATCTCCTTCCAATTTAGACTAATTTCTTCCTTTCTTTCCACCATGCTGTAGAAACTTTTTGCCCGGATCACTGAAAGTGAAATATTTTTACACTCTTGCCTTTTTGGCATTTCTCCTAAATAAAGAAGCTTTATTCAAATGCTTGTTTGCCTCACAGTCAGTAACTTTATTTTAGCTTGGGATTTTACAGAATTCTTTAAGAAGACATTAGAGCTGCTGAACCATTCCTCAGAAGCATAAAACTGGCCTAGAGTGCTATTGGCTACTGGCCAACTGACAGTAGTGCTATCTCTATACTGCAAGCTGCTGATGGTCTTCATGCCATCAGAGAACTCTGATTTTGGAAGGCACAGGTAGGCTACAAAACTAAAAGGGGGAGGTGGGGAAGAAAGGTATGCAGTGTGTATCTTAGGAAAAAAGAAATGCAAGAAGGTTGCAGACGCTGGCCGGAGTTTGCTTCCTGACTCTCCACTTTGCTCTCAGCCGTTTCATCAGAGCTGGTGGTGGTCTTTAGCTCTTCAAGTCCTCAGGATGGAGACACCAAGACAGATGGCATGAGACCCACAGTACTCAAGATGATGCAGAATGGTTGGCAGGAGAGCCTAAGGGGTCAGGGTCACTTATGGAATAAATGCTATAGGAAAGGGTTTATTAAGAGGTAGCACTTGAGAACCTTAATTCCAAGTTCAGGAGATGAGAATACCTTTTTTTTTTTTTTTTAATCCCATGGACTCTCAGGAATATTATCAGAAACTAGAGAAGAAGCAGACAGATGAAGAGCTACTTGGGCGAAGGAGCAAGGTTGAATCGCTGAAGCTGGTAACGCCTTACATTCAGAAGGCAGAGGCTTATGAGTCAGGTAGGACCAGGACTGACCTGTTGGGTTGGGATGGACATCTGGATGAACCAGAGGGTGGAAAGGAGAGGGGAATATGTTTGTCTTGACTCCTTTTTTGTGCAGTGGTTCGAATCGAGGGCTCCCTGGGCCAAGTAGCTGTATCGACGTGTTTTAGTCCTCGCCGAGCTATTGATGCTGTACCCCACGGATCTCAAGAGCAGGTAGAAATGATAGCTTCCCACGAGCCTTTTTATCTCCCCTGTTTTGGAGAAAGGATGGGGGCACTCTCATGCTTGAGATCAGTAAGATTGTGACTTTAGAGTGAGAAAGAAGTGTGGTCAGGCTTTATGTTAGCCTTTCCAGCTCCATTGCTAGCTAGTCTAAGGCCTGGGCTGATGCTATGGAGGTGTGGCTGAGGGCCTTGGACTCTCTCCTAGGAGATAGGAGCTGCAAGCAGTCAGAGGCTTCAGGTGTTGTCCCGGATTGAGAAGGTGAGCTATCAACTTCTTAAGGATGAGTTCCTAATTTCCCCTTGGGAATGGAATATTGGTCAAACTGACCCCTTCTTTTCCCACCTTCAAATTCCCAGATGTTTCTTCAGTTACTAGAAATAGAGGAGGGCCAGAAGGATGGGCATCCACAGCCCTGCTACTCTGAACAACAGAGCCACCAGGTTGAGAAGCTCTTCCAGGCCTTAAAGACCCAGGAGCAGAAAAATCTGGAGTGAGTGTGGGAGGGTCACACCTCCAGCCAGGGAAGGGGAAGATGAGCAAACACACAGACTTTGCTTCTGCCCCTCTTTTCTGGCATGCAGTCAGAGCCCTCTATGCAAATGTTCTCCTTTCTCACATGTAGGGAGGCAGCAGATGGTTTCCTGCAGGTGCTCTCTGTGAGGAAGGGGAAAGCTCTCGTGGCAAGGCTGCTCCCTTTCCTGCCCCAGGATCAAGCTGTTAGCCTTCTTTTGGCTATCACCCACCATTTGCCCTTCCTAGTCCGGAGGGATGTAGCTGATCAGGTACTGTGGCACTAAGTAGAGAAGAGGATAGTTTTGTGGATGAGTTAGGGATCCTTCCTATCTTCTGTCCCTCAGCCCCAGAGATGCCAGATAAAGTGCTGGGCAGGGAGAGGTGCCAAACCTGTAACCCCTGAGTGAGGGAGTTACAGAACCAACTACTATTAGAACTGATCATCTTTAGGTACAATGAACAAAAAACATAGGCATGTGGTTGCACAGGTCTGAGTGTGCTGTGGAGGTTTGAGAAGATAAGGACTCCCTGAGAAGTGTTTGTTGAGCCCTGTATCTACCTTTCTTAGGGAAGACATTCTAGATAAGTAGGTATTGAAGGACCAGTATTAAGGTTGGAGAGACATGAGTGGTGATTGGCTTAGTAAGAAATCTGACCAGGAAAATGTCAAAAACAGGTCATCAAAGGAAAAAAAAAAGGGATAGAAAAGGGGATAGAAGGTAAAGTTGTAGTGGAGTCTGAAAGAGGCACTTACTGACATTCTTGCAGGCTCTACAAATGTTATTCAAACCTCTGGGCAAATGTATCAGTCACTTGACCTTCCACGAACTCCTCCAAGGACTTCAGGGGCTAATGCGGTTTCCACCCAGCTCCTCAGAGCGGCCAGTCACTCTGGTGCTTCAGAACCAGGTAACCTAGTAGTGGGGAGGCTTTTCTCTTTCCACAGATGGTCTTCAGCTGGTATCACTGGCAAGGAGTAAGCAAAGGAATTTTACCTCTCCATCTTCTCTGCATTGCTTCTCCATGTCTGGTGAGCACTAGGATCACCTGGAGAACTTACCAAGCACCAGTTCCTTGGTCTCATCCCCAGAGAGTCTCATTTAATAGACCTGGGTATGGCCTCTTGCATTTACCTTTATAACAAGTTCCCTGATGATGGTGCTGATGTGGACCTCTAGAGCAGAAGTCACCAAATTTTTTTGATTATGCATCCCTTTTAGTAAAAAGTTCTGAACCATTTTACCCATGTGCTTGTCTAGGAGTCCTATACATGTAACACTTAACTAAATACATAATAAGTACAAGATAGAAAATTTTAAATGAAGGGACTCTAGATGCAAAAGTTCTGATAACTTCTAAAACCCCAGTGAATTATTTTGTGAACTCCTCTCTGAAGATCTTTACCTAAAGCAATACTTCTTTCAGTGCAGCCCACAAACTACCTGCATCAGATTCCTGAGTCTATTCTTGATCTATATTCTCTGACTGCTGAGAGTAAAACCCACAAGTGTGTATTTAATCAACTCTCCACAAGGATCTTTTGGAAAATTCAGAGCAGTGATTTCCTTCGAAAGGTCTGACAGTTCTTTAGCCAGCCATTATAAAACCTGATACTTCTACAAGTGTTGAATTCCATTTTTACAAGTGAACCTGCCCCTTTAGTTGGGGAATTGGCTGGGCCAGGAAGCACTGAAGGCCTATGTTGAACTCATTTTACCTTGTATCACTTGCAGTTTGGAATATCTTTGCTCTATGCCCTACTGAGTCAAGGGGAGCAACTGGTATCCCTGGAGTCCTCCCTTGAGGAGACCAACAGTGATCATACAGCTTGGTAAGATCTTAAAGGCCTAGTAAATATGACTTAAGTGCCCCCTGAGATGTATAGGCAGGCCAGACAAGATATTACCTGAGTGTTATATTCAAGTATTGGGGAGGAAGTTGGACAGAGAAAGGCAAAATAGCAGAATTGTAGCTGTTTTGCCTTTTCATTTTTTCCCCACTTCCTTTTTCATAGCGCCCTAAAGTATTGGTTTCCAATGGAAGGCAATATAACAGTGATAAAGGGGACAAGCTTTAGAGTCAAACAGACCTAAGGTGGAATTCTGCCTTTGTCACTTAGCAGCATTACAAGTTTTGGACATGTTACTTCACTTCTCTAAGTCTCGTCTATAAACTAGGGATTTAGGGATAATGATACTAACTTCTTATTGTTGTTACTACTTTTGTTGTTGTTGTTGTTGTTGTTACCACTTAAGAGTTCTTAAGAAGGTGGATATGCAAAGCACTAGGCATTGCCTGGCACATACAAAATATGGGAACATTCTCTTAACTGCCACAAGCACAGAGGGTGATAGTGGTGGTGGAAAATAATTAGAAACCTGGGCCTTTAGTCTGTTTCCTGTAAATACAAAGACTCTGGTGTTTTTCCATCTTCTCTCCCCTCCAGGACAGACATGGTGGTTCTGATTGCCTGGGAAATAGCCCAAATGCCAACAGCATCTCTGGCGGAACCCCTAACCTTCCCCAGTAATCTTCTTCCTCTGTTCTGTCACCACGTGGACAAACAATTGGTACAGCAGCTAGAGGCTAAGATGGAGTAAGTGATGGCAGAAACAAGGTCATAGTCCTTGTTCAAGCCCAGTGTAGGTTCTGTCACTGAGTTCTCTTCTTTGAGGCCAAGAATATGAAGGATAACTCCTATTTAGAAGTAGTTCTAGATGCTCTAGCATTCATCAAGTAACCAATTTGCCCAGGTTAGGTTCCCAAAGCCTGTTTCTTCAGGCACACCTTTTAATTTATTCCCAGATGCTTTGCTCATTTATCATGCCAAGCTGCTTTAACAGCAAGAATTAATATGAGAAGCTGAGTTGTTAATTCAAGAAATATTTGAGGGACAATTATTCTAAGATAAAAGCATGAGTGACCTGAAGTTCACTTCTGTCTTGAGAATTTACCAGCTGCTGGAAAGAGCCAGATAGGAATCAAATCACACTAATTAGAAAATAGAATTGTTTAGTTAACATCTGCTCTCTTTGTAGGCTTGCTTGGATCTATTGATCCAGTTGTTCTGGAATATCTGTACACGGGGAAAAGCTTAATCATCAGATGCTAGCTATATGGATTATGTCCACAGGGATCCAGAGAATCTGAGGACATTTCTTATGCCTTGCTATATCAGGGGACCCCACCACAAACCTTTTATGTTCTCCTTAAATACTTGAATGATATGCCTATAAGGGCATGACATAACAAAGTATATTAAAGAAATAATGATGTGTTGAAATTTTGTCCTAAGTTAGAAGGTATATGAAAGCCATTTCCTTACATATGAATGCCCCCAAGAATGTCCTTAATAAAAGGGATAAGGCCTTGTTAGGTTCTAACAAAAGTAGAACCTTAGAAATTTCTTCATTGTTGCCATTTTTTTTTTTTAAATAAAGAGACAGTAGCTAAGCTAATAAGGTTGGCTATAAGTATCTCCCTTGGGCTATGAAATGTTAGGTTTAAGTTGAAAAACAAGGTCCTGTATTCATCAATAATCCGAGTCCCTTTTATGAATCAGGCACTGTTTTAGGTGGTAGGTTAACAGTAAGCAGTGAAAACTCCATTTTTCTGAAGCTTACATTCTGGTTAGACAGGGACTGATGCAAAACATCAAGTAGTACAAATACCTTGGTGAAAACAAAACTGGGTGGGGCGCGCCTAGAGTGTAATGATCCAGGAAGGTCTGTCAATAGCAGTTACAATTAAGCTGAAAGCATTCCATGTAGAAGCACCAGTGAACACAAAGCTGCCAAGTGAGAATGAACTTCATGTGTTTCAGGAATGGAAAGAAGGCAAGTATGACTGAGGTACACAGATATGGTGGAAGGGTGAGGTTGGAGAGAGGTAGATAAGGTATAGATCTATAAGCCATGATTTAAAAATCAGGATTCTAACTAATGGGAAGTCAGAATTTTAAACTGGGATGTAATGTGACTTCATTTTTAGAAGATCCCTCTACTGCTTGTGAGAGGAACAAGGGAGCAAAGCAGAGAAAAATATTCAGAGGTTTATTCCATCAGCTCAGGCAAGAATTGAAGAGTAGTGATGAGGAAAAGCAGAGAAGAAAATTTGGAATAGGTGTTGAAAGTACGAGTTGACATTGCTGATGGGTTGGATAAAGGTGGTGGCTAAGTTGGGGGGTGGGGGGGAGGAAACATGGGTTAGCAGACAGCGTTAAAAAGAATCAACTAAGAATTTTCTAAAGGGGAAGCAAAATGTGACAGAGGTAGCAGTTGGTGTAGGTTAAGGGAGGATTTCTTTTGAGAGTGACATCATAAATGTCACATGACAAAGCACCCCAATAAAAGGGGAGAAAAGAATGTGGGAGGAAAAAATTTTACAAAGTCCAAGAACAAGAAGAGAATGAATCAAAGCACAACTCGAGGGGGCTGGCCTTTGGTTGGAAAAGAATAGGTCAAGAAAGGTACTGATGTTTATTAGGAGAATCTATTCTTTCCTCACCCCCTCTGCTCCTCACCAGCTCCTGAAGACCTTGGACCAAACTTCCCTGAGAAGAGGCTAGGAATGAAACGGGGAGCTCGACCACCACCATCAACCACCTCCACCACCCGTTAACTACCCTGTTCCCCTTCCCTTTACAAGGGACCTTATTTTACTTCAACATTCAGATCCACTCTCTCAGAATGGATCGGTGCATACTACCAAAGACATGATAACACCCGGGGCTATAAAAGAAAACAGCACAATAGGAAAATCAAAGGAGAGAGGCAGGAACCGGGTTCCAAAAGCGGGGAAGCATTTAGATTAAGGAGGAAGAGACTAATGCCACAATGTGAATAAAGCTGCTACCGCCTGCCTGAGGCCGCTAAATTTGGCTTAACTCTTCCAGGGTAGTTAAGTAACAGGCTTGGAGCAAAGGTAGAAGTAGCTTTTGGCCGTGGTTGGCACCAGCCTGCAAAAGCCAGCGACGCAACCGGCCGAGGCCGCCCCGCGGTCCCCGAGGGTCACGAGTCCTCCGGAGGGTGGGCTGCCCCGCGCATGCCCGGGACGCAGCTGACTCAGGTGACCGGAAGTGGCGGCCGGATCAAGATGGCTGCGGGAGAGGCAGCTGGGAGAGCTGCTGGTTGCAGCAGCTGCGGCGCTGAAACTATGGGACGGGTTCTACCTATGCTGTTGGTGCCGGTCCCTGTGGAGGCAACCGGGCGGTTGGGCTCCCGGGCGCAGTTGCACAGAGAGCAGGAGGTTCTGGGGAGTCTAACAGCTGCAGGCAGCCTGCAGGTGCTTTCCTTGGCGCCGGGCGGCCGGAGCGGCGGTGCCTGCTGCCTCAATGGCCCCTTTCGGCAGTAAGTGCTGCGGGGGGGATGCTGGGCAGTGCCGGGGGAGTACGGAGCCTTAGATCGGCGGGCCCCAGTGCTCCCCTCCAGGCGTGGAGGTCGGGGGAGGAATGACAGCCGCAGGAGACGCCTCAGAGGGGAACCGGGTACACTGTCGGAACCTGTCCCTCGCTTTGCAGCCCCACCCTCGCTTCCCGGTCGTGGGGCGGGTGGGGGCGCGGAGAGGGCGCCCCAGCTCCCCCGCTGGCCTCTGCCAACCCGGAGTAGGTCCCGCTTAGGCGCTCGCGCTTAAATTAATTCAGCATAGGTTAAATAATCGTTACTGTTCCTTGTACCTTGCCCATTCTCTTAATTCAGTTAAATCCTTTAAAGATTGCAGCTGGGGATCCTCTTTAATTTGAATCATCCTGATAGTTCCGTCACACGTGGGCTTCGCCCCGCCGCCGCCTTTTTCTTTGATAGAGTCTACTTTGCCCACTTACGTATTCATTCAACAAATATCCTTACATGCTTACTGTTACATAGGAGCATTCCCTAAGAAGTTGAGTAAGATAGCTTCTATGTGACCCTTGCTTGATTTGGGAAGACAGAAAAACACAATTACAATCATGTATTTCCACTTTTGTGACTCTCTGGGAGTTAGTCATTAAGCTTGAGAGTGGCTTCAGAATCTTTGGGCTTTTTTTTTTTTTTTTTTAAGTTTTATTTATGTAAGTTAACTCTGCACCCAACATGGGGCTCAACAACCCCAAAGTCAAGAGTGTCTTGCTCTTCCAACTGAGCCCTCCAGCATCTCTGGGCTCTTACTTAATAGAAAACATTTAGAAACGGTCTCCTTTCTAAAACATTAGGCAGTCTCGAGGTGTGTTATCTTGGAATATCCAGGTTCTGTAGCAGTGCCTGATAGTAGAGATTTGTTTGATAAATAAGCGAGTGCTGTAATCGGTTCTCCGTTTGTATTCTTTACTCCTGATCTCTGGGTGCTAGGAAGAAGAATCTCTCCATAGGGGAAGTTGGTTTATTCAACTATGTTAAGTACCTGTGGACACAGTCCTGTAAAGGAAGAAATGAGGCAGAGAAAGGGAGAACTCTTTAGATGTTTGAGAACTTAATGGGAGATAAGACATACACACATGAGATAATGAGGGCGTTCATAAGCTACTGCATGAAATTAGTAGACTGCAGGAGGATCAAAAGGACTTATTTTTATTTGAATTGGATTTAATTTTAATTCAGGCACTTAATGTAAATGTAATAAATTTATAGTGTTCAGAGTTTACTTGGTCTTTCTTATATATGTCAAAATCACTGTACATTCTTCAGTTACTTTTGAAAATTTCCTGTTTTTTTCATGTGACAGTATAGTCCATATGCTAATAATGTTAAAGGATGTCACTGTAGTTTGCCTTTTGAGTATATCTTAATTTGTTCTTTTCCATATTTGACATTAAGATTTTTCCCCAGATGTTCATTGTAAACAGGAATTGAGTGTTCATGAAAAATCATCAGTCTAGACACAAAGATAGAAATATATAATATTTCAGTCTTTTTCTCCAATAAGGACATTAGAGCATCAAGTCTGATTTTTTTTAAATTACATCTAAAACTACTTCTGTAGAAGAAAGCTTTCTTTAAAAGATTAAACTATTGGCATGGTAGCCACCTCTTATTCCATTGTATTTTCAGAATTAGGCCTTTCATTTTATTTTTTTATTTTTAAAAAGATTTATTTTAGAGAGACAGGTGTGTGTGGATGCACATGGAAAGGAGGAGAGGGAAAGGGAGAGAAATCTCAAGCAGACCCCCCCGAGGGAGGAGCCCAGTCCCACCACCCTGAGATCATGACCTTGGCTGAAATCAAGATGTGATCGTTTAACTGTGCCACCCCGGGACACCCCCTCTTGTTTATTAAATGTAATTTGATTTATTTAATTTGAAGCTGTAGCATCATTTGTTAGTCTCTTTCCACCATTGTTAGCCAATGTTGATATGTTGACATTACACTGCGTTAAAAATTCTGTAACTGTGTTGTCCAGCATGGTAGCCATTAGCTACACGTGACTTAATGAATTTTGCATTTTGCTCAGTTGCACTATTCACATTTCAGGTGTTGGGTAGCTGTGTGTAGCTGTTGGGTACCATATTGGACAGTGCAGATATATAGAGCACTTCCATCATTATGGAACGTTCTATTGGACAGACCTATAGTATACTATCTTGGGGTCTTAGTAGTCTATAAATAAAAATAGTCACTTTTTAAAGTCATTGGAAGCATTTCAGTTAGCAAAACCTATTTTGTTAATAGTATCACCTTTTGTAAATAATATACATATTTAGTTGTTGAAACTTGTCCTTATGACCATTCTTTTAAACATTTCATCAGACAACATTTAAGATGAAGGAATAAAAGCAGCCATCATTTATTACCCCATACCATTTTTTTTTTTTTTTTTTTTTACCACCCACTCCTATATTGTTGGCCTGAAGATTCAGGGCTCGGGGAGGGGTGGGAAGGGGGATGCCCCAGAGCAGTTTACATTCCCTCAAGTTGGATGTAGAATTAATGCTGCTACTGGATGAACTAAAGAATTGTTCTTTACTCATTCTATCCTTCTACCCTCACCATTGTGGGTAAATATTATTGTGGATAGTAGAATATAATAATTATGCTTTTTCCATAGCTTTATATGGGAGGATTCTCATAACAGCAGCTCACCAACAGACAAGCCCAAACTTCTTGCTCTTAGTGAAAACTATGAACTGTTTATCTATGAATTTAATTTGAAAGATGGAAGATGTGATGCAACCATTTTGTATAGCTGTAGTGAGGAGACATTGCAGAAGCTCATTGAAGATCAAAATATCAGTAAGTATTTACAGGTGGTCTTTTAGCATGTTGAAATCTGTGTAATCTTATATATTCCAGGAAGAGTTCTTATAGAGATGAAATCAGAGAGGGAGATTTACCTTGTCCAGTAGTCACTAGCCACATGGGGCTATTAAAATTGAAATGAATTTTATTGAAATTGAAAGCAATTGAAATGTGACTGATGTGAATTAAGATGTCCTCTAAGTGTCAAATACATACCAGATTTTGAAGGCTTAGAGTAAGAAAGTAGGGGATGCCTGGGTGGCTCAGTGGTTGAGTGTCTGCCGTCGGCCCAGAGCGTGATCCTGGTTTCCCAGGATCGAGTCCCGCATCGGGCTCCCTGCATGGAGCCTGCTTCTTCTCCCTCTTCCTGTGTCTCTCACCTTTCCTTCTGTGTCTCTCACGAATCAATAAATAAAATCTTTTTTTTTCAATAAATAAAATCTTAAAAAAAAAGAATAAGAAAGTAAAATATCTCATAAATAGTTTTTTATATTTATTACATGTTGAAATTATATTTTGGATGTAAGGGGGTAAATAATATGTAAAAATTAGTTTCACCTGTTTTTTTTTTTTTTCAATGCAGCTACTAGAACAAGTGCAGTTCGCATTTGTGACTGATAATATTTCTACCCGATAGTGCTGATCTAAACTGATTACCCATCCTGAGGGCTGCAGGGAACAGAAATCAAAGCACTCAGGCTTCTATATTTAAGGCAGTAGCATACTCAATACCCTTGGTTTTAAGGATCCTTCTCTTCTTTTAGATTTTTTTCTTTTTAAGTAATCTCTACCACCAGTGTGGGGCTTGAATTCACAACCCTGACATCAGGAGTCACATGCTCTTCTGACTGAGCCAGCCAAGGGCCCCCTTTTTCATTTAAAAAAAAAAAAAAAAAAGAAGAAGCCTGTGATTGTTCTTGTGGGGTTCCTGAGATAAGTGGTTTTTTGTTGTCCCCCCCCCCCCCCGAAACTTCTGGTGTGCTACCAGATTCTGGCTGTAAACAGAAGGAACAGAGACATTGTAGGCTATCTTTTTTTTTTTTTTTTAATGATTTTATTTATTTATTCATGAGAGACCGAGAGAGAGAGGAAAGAGAGAGAGGCAGAGACACAGGCAGAGGGAGAAGCAGGCTCCATGCAGGGAGCCTGATATGGGACTCGATCCTGGGATCACTCACGGCCTGGGCCGATGGCAGGCGCCCAGCCGCTGAGTCACCCAGGTGTCCCTGTTGTAGGCTATTTTTATTCATCCTCTTACCTCCTACCTACCAGTAATCAATCACTTGTTTAGGTGGGTATGATCATAACTGCTTCAAATTGGACAAAGTGCTGTTTCTTTTTTGTTTTACCTGTTTGTGTTCACAAAATCAGAATTACCAACTGTAAAATTGTGACCAGTAAGTTTGAAATAATATCCTTTTGTTTCCTAGGTGTTTCCTTATTATCTTTGAGAATTCTGTCATTTCACAATAACACATCATTATTGTTCATCAATAAATGTATTGTCCTACACGTTATATTTCCTGAAAGAGATGCTGAGATCAGAGTACTCAACTGTTTCACGTTACCCTTGCCTGCACAGGCAGTGGACAGGATCATTGATGTGCAGCTCTGCAGAGGAATTCTTTTTGTTTTGAGTAGTTTAGGCTGGATCTGTATCCTTGGCAGTAAAGATGGGGATATGCGGTGGAGAGGGGATGTGCCTGGAAAGGTGAACCTTTTTTAGGCTTTTAGTTTTAGGGACTGGTATATAGGTAGAATGGTTAGTTTTTCCAGTACAATTTTCCAGGGAAAAAGATCTTCATGAACTTAAAATAATCATTATATTGCTTTATATTCCACTGAAGTATTTTCTAGTAAGTACATTTTTTTCCATAGGCGTAATCAATCCAACTTATTTGTGTTTTTAAATTACATATGCTCTGTATTACCTATTTTTTTGTATTACCTATTTATTCAAAACATGCTTGTTAAATATCTATGTGCTTGTTCTAGAAAGTATTTTGAGAACTACTTAGATGTGATACATACATTTTCATGTATGAATACAATCCACTTATCTAATGATTCCATCATATTAGTGAATCATAGGGTTTGCTTAACCACTTTTAATTTGGTTTTGGAAATATTAGGGTTTTTTTTTTTTTTTTTTTGTCTCTAGTAGATCCATAGATTATCAGCAAAATTGTTTTGAAGACTTGAGAAATTACCCTTTACATGATTGTGGAACTTTTATTTCTGAATTAAAGAGGTGGTTTTTCTACTTAGATATAAAATAGCCTTTATTAAAATTTCTTTTGTAAAAATGTCATAAAATGTTGCATTAACTTCATCTTTGTTGCCAGATAATAGATGGTGCTGTCCAGCAAGGTAGACACGAGGAGGCTTATATGTCTATTGAGCACTTGAAATTGGCTACTGTGATTGAGAAATGGAATTCTTAATTTTACTTAATTACTTTAAATTTAAAAGCTGATACTTTATTCAGTTATCGGAGAACTTTTAAGTATATTTAAGTTCTCAAATGTGAATTTAATGAAGTTTAAATACAGAACAGGTATTTTCAATGAAAGTTTAGTGTCTAAACAGATTTGCTGTAGGTGTAAAATACCAAATTTTGAACATTTTTATGAAAAGTTGTAAAGCGTCTTAATTTTTTTATATCAATTACATGTTGAGATGGTAATATTTTGGATATATTGGATTAAGTAAAATGTGTTATTAAAATTAGGTTCACTGGTTTCACTTTAATAAGGCTACTAAAAAATGTATAATGACAGATATGGCTCACAATACATATTTCTCTTAGCATTGTTATAGAAAACTAGTGGAAAATATTAGGGTATCAATCAAGGCCTGGCACAGTGGATTTTTAGCAAGTGTTGCTGAATGAACTCTGTGGGCCACCAACTTCATAAGTCCTCTGATTCTTGTGATGAAGGCTGCCTCGGTGTCCACTGTTCCCTTTGTTACTATATCTATAAGGTTGCAGCCATGAAGTCTGAACTCCATCCCATCTTCTGCTTTAAGTGGTGAGGCATACTTAAGACTGGTATTTTCTTTAACTCTGACTCAAAGACATTTTTGACATTGTGGATGGAAGACATGTAGCTCATGTGGATTTAGCACTTCACCAAGAAGATATGTGTAATGAACAGCAACAGGAACCAGCCAAGATTTCTTCCTTTACTTCACTGAAAGTGTCTCAAGACCTAGATGTTGTAGTGATTGTCAGCTCCTTCAACTCTGCAGTTGCTCTTAACCTAAACTTGTATTTCAGGTATGTAAGTTACTGCAATCTCTGCTTTGAGGTAAATAATTAAAGCCATAAGAGGTTGAAAATGTACTTGTTAGCTTTTTTTTAAACCAGTTTTAGAGCAGCCCGGGTGGCTCAGCGGTTTAGCGCCACCTTCAGCCCAGGGTGTGATCCTGGAGACCCAGGATCCAGTCCCAGGTCAGGCTCCCTGCATGGAGCCTGCTTCTCCCTCTGCCTTTGTCTGTGCCTCTCTCAATCTGTGTCTCATGAATAAATAAGTAAAATCTTAAAAAAAAAAAAAGTTTTATTTCTCTATTCAGTGAGATTGTGTTCTAGCTACTACATAGATTGTTATTGTAAAATTGTGCAAATGACCATTGGCTACCTTTTTATTTCTTAATATATATCAAAGTTGTGATTATGATTTGTATATGTTATTACATATTGGTTATATCATGTTATTAAATAATCAAGCACAACTTAAAAAATAATAAAGTACATAATGTACAACAGCATAGTTGGCTTTAATACATTATTTACCCACTTTTTGCCCTACATTAGAATAGAAGAAAAAGGTGTTTACCGTATTAAAATTCCTGCTTATGTGTCCGGGATCCTGGCAGCCTTAGGGATTACTTTACTCTTAAAGGACTTTGATAAGATATATTAAGCTAAATTTCTCCAACTGAGGATTTTCTCAGGCGTTTCCCTTGAAGGACCCACACTTGTGGCAATCTAAAATATATTAGTAAAAATTGAGTGCTTATTTATGTTGCTTTTTTATTTAGATATTCTAGTTACTTCTGATTTTGTAAGTTTGAGAGAGAGATGAAAGGTATAAGTACACACCCTAGCCTGTACGTTGCAAATTACTTATCTAAAAGTAGGCTTATCCACATTTGATTTTTATTATTTAGGGCCATTCAAAACCATTAGCATTCTTGGTCCTAACTCAGTATGAATGAGATAAACAAATGGTTGAGTAATTAGGAATGCACTTTGAATGGTTTTATTGCTTATTGTTGGATCACTAGAAGACAAATTCATCTTCACATACCTACCAGAACTTCTTACCACTGTGATTTTTTTTTTTTAAGTGGCTATTTAATGCTTTAAAAAAAAAATCTTTAAGCAGGGATGACTAGCACATTCTCAGGTCATGTGTTTATCATTAGGCTATTTTTTCTGACTAAAACATACCCTGTGTGTATAGAGTTATTTCCTAATTGTCTACCTTGGAAAATAATTTGGTGAGGAGGGAGGAAAGCCTGCTCAGCCACTTTGATCTTCCGGTGTGGGTTCCATTCCTGTAGATGTTTTGGTAACACCTCAAGAAAGCTCTGAAGAGGGCATCAGGAGCTCAGCTACTTTGCCATCAGTCAAAGAAGAGCTAGTGTTCAGTTTCCTATAAATTTAGGGATCTGTCCTGCCCAACTAAATGAGTAATCTCTATTAGTAGGATTTCTCTGGACTTGATAACATTTTATTTTCTAAGTGTGTTCTGAGGTTGAAAAGTGTTTCTCTTTCTTCACTCCTGGTTCTAGCTCTTTTCCCCCCGCCGGAATACAGAATGTCAGTCTCTCCTCATTTTATCTTTTAAGATTTACCTCTCTCATGAGGCCTTTTCTTACTAACACCCCTTCCACTCGTAATTTTATACTAATTTTATCATTTTTTTTCTCTTTGAACTTCTATAGCACTTTGGCTTTGAATTACCATTTGGTACTTAATTGTATAGTGTTGTATTATTTCTCTAATTTTTTTTCATGTTTCCCATAGACTTTGTAAACTCCTTGAGAACCCAAACTCATGGTTTGTTCTTTCAGTTCATTGTCAGTGACTTTTTCTTCCAATTTACTTTAGTTGTCCACTCCCATACTCTCTTCCTGATTTTGAGTTGTTTGAAACTATTCCTCCCCCAAATCACTACCTACATGTCTCATTTTCTAACTACAACCTTCCAAACTTTCTGTGTCACTTACTCAAGTACTCCCACTCTACTTGTCGTCTGACATCATTGGAATTTTCAGACAGTTGACCTTCCCACTCTCATCTTCACTTCCTTCCCTTTCCAGCATGGATTCTGGCCCCCATTTCAATCCCTTTTTAACATGTACCCTAAACTCTTGCTCCTGCTCTATGGTAGCACTTGGTTTGACAAAATCTTTTTTTTTTTTTTTTTTTTTTTTTACTCTGCCTTCTCTGTCCCTGTACCCAAGCAACCAGGCACTTGTGAGAAAACCTCAAACAAAGGAAAATTGATCGCACTGTAAGTTCACTTTCGCTACCTTCAAGTGGTCTCTGAATATTACCTGGAAACTTAATTTTTCATGAGCCCATTCTTTACAATAATGTTTTTAAACCTTCATTTTCCCCAGGTCTCTGCTCATCTCTTTACCCCCAAATCTTGGGTGACTTTGCCCTCTACTTATAAAGGAAGTAGAATCTAATGAGAGCTCCCTCAGTTTCTCACGTTAAGTTACAAACCTGCTTTCCTATACCCATCTCCTTGTCTTACCTCTTATTACAATGATTCCTCTCCTTCTATGAAGGCCCATCCCTCTGTGCTCTGGATCCTAATTCTTCCTTCTTAGAGACTGTTTCCCATTTCCATTTCCATATATATATATATATATATATATATATATATATGATAAAGATATCTTAAAGATATATAAGAAAATGTATATATAAATCTTGAACATCTTTTAAGTATTACATCCATATCTAATTAATCGCCAGGTCCTAGTCATTCCTCCTCCTTAAATGTTTCTTGAATACACTTTTCTTAACTCTTGTGTTATCACTCTCCTCCATGCCACTGTAATCATTTACCTGAAGTAAGGTAACAGCTCATAATTGGTCTCCTGATGTCTGCTTTTACCCCCTCAACTTCATGCTCTGTACGATAGGCAGAGTGATATTGTTAAAATGGATAGCTTCTCAGAGGAATAGCCAGATATTAACATGTGGGGACAAGGTATCCACCTTTTGTTTGGAAACTACCTTTTCCATGCATCGTTTTTCACACTGTCCTCCTGCCTTCTCCTAACTTATCACCTTGATACATGTTTAATAACATACTACCTTCAAATTGTTGAAAGGGTTAATAGTAATTTAAGTTGCTCAGGGTGTTTAAATGGCTCTCTTTCTCCCCCAGCTACTCTTCTGTATCTGATCAGATTGCTTTTCTGTTTAAAACCCTTATTTAGCTTCCACCCACCAAAATGAAACTAAAAATCGTTAATAGTCCATAAAGCACTGCACTGTATCCTACCAGCCTCATCTCGTACCACCTTGCTTTTCATCTACTTTTCTTACTAACACCCCTTCCACTTGTAATTTTATACTAATTTTATCATTTTTTCCTCTGTGCTACCTTAACCACCTTTGTGTTTCTCAAATGTGACAGCCCTTTTCCTGCATATACTCTTGCACGTACACCTGCACTTGTATTTTATCTTTCTAGTTCTAATACATTGCCCTGGTCTCAGCCTATTTTTTTTAAGATTTTTATTTATTTATTCATGAGAGACAGGCAGAGAAAGAAGCAGGCTCCATGCAGGGAGCCTGATGTGGGACTTGATCCCTGGACTCCAGGATCACACCCTGGGCTGAAGGCAGGCGCTTAACTGCTGAGCCACCCAGGGATTCCCTGGTCTCAGCCTAAATCTTACTTTGTGGTGACAGTATTGTGAGCACTTAGGAGCCTGGGCTTTTTTTTTTTTTTTTTTAAGATTTTTATTTATTCATGAGAGAAACAGAGAGGCAGAGACATAGGCAGAGAAAGAAGCAGGATCCATGCAGGGAGCTCAATGTGGGACTCGATCCCTGGACTCCAGGATCACTTCCTGGGCTGAAGGCAGATGCTCAAATATTGAGCCACCCAGGCGTCCCAGTAGCCTGGGTTTTATAGTCACATTGACCTGTTTCAAATCCAGCTCCACTGTTTCTCTGAGCCTTCATTTCTATATCTATAAAATGAGGGTGTATTTACCTCAGAAGGTTGTTGAAAGGCTAGTTTATATGAAGTTTTTATCACAACATCTGCAATATAGTATACAATAAGTGCTCTTATCTCTTCATAAAGCTAACTGCCCATACGTGCCAAACTATTGTTTTCTTAATTGAGATATAATTGACATACATTATATTAGTTTCAGATGTATAACATAATGATTCAGAATCTGTATGTATATATTGTGAAATGAACACCACAATAATTCATTACCACACATAGTTATAAATGGGTCAGATCCTTAAGGCTGACTTTAGCATTCTGCTATAAGCATTGGAGATTAAGAGCCCTGTTTGCAGAAACTTATTGTCTGTATTGTTTCTTCTGAGTGACACCTCCTCCCACCCATTTTTAATAGGAGTGGTACTAATACAGATTTGGATTTGATCATCATTGTTGACCATGGCTATCATTTTAAAATGTAGGCAACACCCAGGACACCTACTGTGTGAAAGAACTCTAGAAGACATTCCTATTGAAGGCCCTGAGGGGATCGATGAAGATGATCCTGTTAATTCTGACTACAACATGAAACTGACCAAGTTTTCCTTTCAAGTTGATAGGTACAGAAACTCCTTCTTTGGATTTACTTTATTATTTCCATATTGTCTCCTTTTTACTAAATGGTTTTACAAAAGTAGACACTTCTTTTTTTAATGCATCATCTTCCTGATTTAGTATTTTATTTAGTGCCTTTCACTGTAACAGGTGTGAGTTCTACCCTATATTCCAGGTCTTGGAAAGCCCAGCTATCATCACTGAATGAAATAATAAAGAGCTCCAAATGGGAGGTTTCCTGTTGTGCTCCATGGTTCCAGAATATTCTGCATTTGGAGTTGCCAGAATCTGGTTACCACAGTACTAGTACACCAGGCTGGGCCTTCATCCCACAGGATGTAATGCATAGCCACTACAAGCTTCCACAGAAAGATCTTGCCAACACCGGTGACCCAGGAAGATCATGGAAAATAATGAACTTTAGTGAACTAAAGGAACCTGTTGAGCTTACATGTATGTCTGTGACAGGATTCAGTGTACTGTTTACTTGGGCAGTGGAAAAGATGGGCTGCACCATTGTCCTTTGGGATTTGGAGACCCAGGGTATCCAGTGTTTTTCCCTTGGCAAAAGGTGTATTCCTATAGATATGAGTGGAGACCAGCAGCTGTGCCTTGTTTTGACAGGTGAGACTGTCTTGTATCAGGTTGAAATCCATTGCTGAGAGGTGTGCTTTCTTAACATATTTTATTTTTGCTCTGGTGATGTCAATGCCTACTCTTCTAAGTGGTAATCTTCACGAGGGAAATTTAGTGTTGCTTTTGGTACTCTTGTCTCATATGTTTGGTTTTTAATTAAGGTTATTTTTGCCCAGCTAAATGTTCAGATACCAAGTCAGAGAAAGTTTTAAGAGTAATAAAGGTTGGTTTTAATCCAGGGAGTCTTGACTTGACTCTGTGCAAGCAAACATTGCAAGCTGGCTGCTTGTGGGTCACCTATGAACTGCAGATTTATTTTGTTTGGCTTGCACTATCTAGGCTTTTAAAAAAAAGACTTTATTATAAACATGTAAAATTAAAGGATTTCTAGCTGTTACTGGAAAATTATAAGATCTGGCAACACTAGGCCTGCATTCCTGCACAGTAACTTATGTGTTGGAGCTGAATTTCAGTTCTCTTAGATGGGTTCTCATTAGGCTCTTCTTGCACTTGTCTCACCACCTGTTTGGCCCTGTAGACATTTGAGTTTGATATTTAAGATACATATTCATTCAGCATTTATACTATAACCTCCTATAAAGCTATTACATGATGTGATTGAACTATCTTTATCTCCTTTAATACCCAAATTTTGGTAATTATGTATTTCTTTGTCTCGAGAGCATGCTCTTTGTTTTATCTTAGTAAATCAGAAATGTAACATCTCTGTAAATAGTTTAAAATTCCAGGGATTGATTGTGTAGGATAATAGAAAAGTAGAAAAGTGAGATTTAGTACTATTTCATAGGGTCCATTGTTGTTGCTAGAATGTATCCTATGGTCCATGTTTAAAAAATAAAACTCTTCTTTAAAAACATTAAAATATCAAATGAACTATGGTCATAGTAGTATCATGTCCAATAAATATATTTATAATTATGGCACTGAAGTATTAATTAGAAATTTGTGTTAGAATCCTAAAACCTAAGTCCTCATAATTTATTTAAGGTAACTTTTATTTTCCTTGTAGAAAATGGACTCTCCCTGATTTTGTTTGGATTGACTCAGGAGGAGTTTTTAAATAGACTAATGATCCATGGAAGTGCCAGCACTGTGGACTCTCTTTGCCATCTCAATGGTTGGGGGAGGTGCTCAATCCCCATACATGCGCTGGAGGTAACAAAATTAAATGTCTGTATGACTTTGCTTGATTATTTTCTGTCATATACTCTTATTTGACTGAAGATTTGGGAGAATTCATTTAGCCTAGCAGCAAAAAGAATTATAGTCTTTACCCAACCATTTGCTTAGTTCTGATTATTACCTGATTCTGCTTAGCAGTTTACCCTTTTTGGCCTTAAAAGATATAAAATTATAACAAACACTAAGAAATAAAAAGTTGCAAGGAATGGAGGCAACATTAAATTGGTAAGACTAAATAAAGTGGAAGCAAGCTATAGAAAGGGTGAACAAGAGTAGTCTTTTGTTTCTGCCTTATGGTCCCCACTCTCTCTCCAGCTGTAGAAGCAACATAACCTGAATTTGTATAGCATTTTTATAGTGCACCCTCTTTTTTTTTTTTAAAGATTTTATTTATTCATGAGAGACAGAGAGAGAGGGAGACAAAGAGACAGAGACACAGGCAGAGGGAGAAGCAGACTCCATGCAGGGAGCCCGACGTGGGACTCAATCCCAGGTCTCCAGGATCACACCCTGGGCTGAAGGTGGTGCTAAACCGCTGAGCCACCGGGCTGCCCTATAGTGCACCGTCTTATATGCATTATCAAGTTTTGTCTTAAAATAACCACATGAGATGGGTTGGATAGTTTTTACTCATTTCATTTTACAGATGAAACACCTTAGGCTCAGAATGGTTGACTAAGTGGCCCATAGCAGTACTGATAAGAGCTGGATGTAGAATCAAAGTTAGGGTACTTTTCTCTATACCACACAGCCCCTGAAAGGTCAAAAACTGAAACTGAAAAAAAAAAAAACTGAAAGTTAATAATGTTATGCTTACATTTGTATTTTAAGGACAACTTTATTGAAATATAATTTCAGGATGCCTGGGTAGCTCAGTTAAGCATCTGCCTTCGGTTCAGGTCATGATCCTGGAGTCCTAGGAGTGAGCCCCGTGTCCGGCTCCTTGCTTAGTGGGGAGTCTGTTTCTCCCTCTCCCTCTGTATCTCCCCCTGCTTGTGTGCTCTTACTTGTTTTCTCAAATAAATAAATAAATATAATATGTTTTTAAAAATAAAATAATTCACATACTAAAATTCACCCATCTAAAGTATAAATCCAGTAGTTTTTAGTCAGGGTCTTATAGCTATCAACACTAATTCCACAACATTTTCATTACTCCAAAAAGAAACATCCTTTGAGCATCTGATTTCAATTATTACTATTTGGTCATTGTTTTAGCTTTTTGTGGTTGTTAAGATTTTTATTTATTTACTTGAGAGAGAGAATGAATGGTGGGGGTGGGGAGAGAAATAGGGAGAGAGAGAAGCAGACTCTGCTGAGCAGGAAGCCCCATACAAAGCTGGACCCCAGGAACTGGAGATTTTGACCTGAGCCAAAGGCATCTGCTGAACCACCCAGGCACCTTGTTCATTGTTTTTAAATATGTTATTTTGAGAATTTTCAAATGTACAGAAAAAATTGCAAAAAATACTGAAATGAACATCCACTTACCCTTCACCATTCATCAGCTGTTAACATTTTGTCTTGACTGTGTACTTCTTCTTTTTGCCAAACTATTAAAAAGTTACTAACTTTGTAACTCTTCAAGTACTTTGGCATAGATCATCTAAGAACAACAATATTCTCTTACTGGGATCCCTGGGTGGCTCAGCAGGTTAGTGCCTGCCTTCAGCCCGGGGCATGATCCTGGAGTCCTGGGATTGAGTTCCACATCTGGCTCCCTGCATGGAGCCTGCTTCTCCCTCTGCCTGTGTCTCTGCCTCTCTCTCTCTCTCTCTCTCTCTCTCTCTCTCTCTCTCTCTCTGTCTCTCATGAAAAGATAAATAAAATCTTAAAAAAAAATTCTCTTATTTACTCATATACAATTCAGTTTTTCCTCCCACCAATCAAAGCAAAGGCAGTTTTTGTTGTTGTTGTTGTTGTTTTTATGGTCTCCTTTTGGGAGCAGTTTTTCTCGTTTACGGTTTTTGGACAGTGTCGCTTTGTATGGACTCTAGGTTTATCCTCTCTTTTCCTCCATCCATATGGACCTTCCACCAGTACCTCCCACCTCAACCTGCCTGGTCTGTTAACATCAGAACAGAACTTCAAAGTGTGATCCTTAGACTAACAGCATCACCATCACCTGGAGATTTATTAGAAGTGTAGATTATGTCTTACCTCAGACCTACTAAAATAGAAACTCTGGTGGCAAGCAATTTACATTTAAATGAACTCTCCAAATAATTCTTAGGCACAGTGCTTTAGGGTAGGAATGGCAAACTTTTTCTGTAAAGAATCAGATGGTAAGCATTTAAGAGTTTGCAAGTAGGTTTCTATTGCAACTACTCAGATGTGCCATTGTAGCCATTGGGAATATGTAAATGATGGGTGAATGGGTGTGCTGTGTTCCCATAAAACTTCATTTATGTAAACAGGCAAGGGCTGAATTTGGTTGATGGGCCTTAGTCTTCCAACACCTGCTTTAGGCCATCAGAAAGATGCAGAATCCTTCAGACCACAGTTGGTTTTAGAGCTGGTACGTTTCTGGATTTGTCTTTGGACTAATTTTTATCCTGGGAGGATTTTTTAATTTGTTTCCTGCATTTAAAGTGTGTGTAGGGCAGCCCGGGTGGCTCAGGGGTTTAGCACCATCTTCCCTGCCCAGGGCCTGATCTTGCAGACTTGGGATCGAATCCCACGTCAGACACCCTGCATGGAGCCTGCTTCTCCCTCTGCCTGTGTCTCTGCCTCTCTCTCTCTCTGTGTGTGTGTGTCTCACGAATAAAAAAATAAAATCTTTAAAAAAAAAAATAAGTGTGTGTGTGGGACGCCTAGGTGGCTCAGTGGTTGAGCGTCTGCCTTTGGCTCAGGGTATGATCCCAGTCCAGGGATCCAGTCCTGCATTGGGATCCCTGAGAGAAGCTTGCTGCTTCTTCTGTGTCTCTGCCTTTCTGTGCATCTCTCATGAATAAATAAATCTTAAAAAAAAATGTGTGTGTGAGACTGATTTTTTAAAGATTTTATTTATTGGACATGGAGGGCACAAGCAGGAGGAGCTAGAGGGAGAGGGAGAAGCAGGCTCCCTGCTGAGTAGGGAGTTTGATGCTGGGTTTGATACAGGGCTCTCAATCCCAGGACCCCAGGGATCATGACCTGAGCCAAAGGCAGATGTTTACCTGACTGAACCACCCAGTCGCCCCAGAATCTGTGATTTTTAAGTGTGTTGTATGGAAAACTTATTCAAGATGCCTAGTTAGAAAGGTGAATCTATTTTAGCTTGCTTTTTCAGAGAACTTTGTATCACACTGTTTAACATTTTAATTCAAATGGACCCTAACTTACCTGTAATAATGGTCCCCAAGTACCTATCTTTGAGTAGTAATAGATTTACAGATGGTAGAGTTCAAAGTGTTTTCTAGTCTAACCTCTTGTTTCTACTGAAACAGAAATTGATATTCAGAAAAGTTAGAGACTTGGCCCAGGTTTCATAAATAGTCATTTTCCTAATCCTTACCAGAACCAGGGTATTGCAGCTAGATAGCCTTGTGTTTCTTGTAGTCTCAGTGCATTAAATTCTAACGTTAAAAAAAATTAAAAATCCATATCCCTGATTTTTTCATATTGTAATTTTTTTTTTCTGATTTTCTCCTGTTTCAGGCTGGGATAGAAAATCGTCAGCTGGACACCGTAGATTTCTTTTTGAAGAGCAAAGAAAATCTTTTGAATCCATCCTCAAAATCTTCCATACCGGATCAGTTTGATGACTTTCCATCTCATTTATATTTAAGAAGTAAGTAGAAGGGGCAGCCCAGGTGGCTCAGTGGTTTAGCGCCGCCCTTCAGCCCAGGGCCTGATCCTGGAAACCCGGGATCGAGTCCCACATTGGGCTCCCTGCATGGAGCCTGCTTCTCTCTCTGCCTGTGTCTCTGCCTCTCTCTCTGTCTCTCTTTCTCTCATGAATAAACAAAATCTTTGAAAAAAAAAAAAGTAGAAAAAGCTTCTACATTTGTATTTATCATTTATTTTTTTAGTCACTTTCAAATTATTGTTGAGCATTCTGATGACTGACTGAATTGCCAAAACTCAGTCATGACATTTTATGTGCTTTGTGGAATCTTGAGGGAGTTGGTGGAATCTATAAATGTTCTTATTCTAAGTGGGGTGTTTATTGTTCATATCTTGTACTGTGCTTTGTATTTTTAGTATGCAAGGAAGAGATGACCTTTTAAATTCAAGAGAATTTTATTCAAAAGAGAATAAAATTCATTTGCAAAATTACCCACCCCTGCAACTATCTGAGACATTTAGTGTGATGGTTGAGTTATGGATTGAGACTCGTTACAAAAATTTTCAGCCTAGGGGCTCCCTGGTGGCTCATTCCTTTAAAGGCTGCTTTCGGCTCGGATCATGATCCCAGGGTCCTGGGATTGAGCCCTGCATCAGGCTCCCTTCTCCCTCTCCCTGCCACTCCCCCTGCTTGTGTCCTCTCTCTCCCTCTTTCTTTCTCTCTCTCTCTCTCTCTCTCTCTCTCTCTCCCTCTCTCCCCCCTTCTCTCTGTCAAATAAATCTTTATAAAAATTTTTTTCAGCCTAACTCTTCAGTTTTTTTGCTACATTACCAACACTTCAAGATTTGACTCTCCTATTTAATAAACAGGAAACCTAGCTTTTATTCTTGGACCAGGTAGCCATGCACATCCTGACCTTAGAGGGATAAGGTAGTAAAGTATGTTTTTCCTGATACATACAGTTTTATAATCTTTTTTATTTTTTCATTTGGTGATATATTATAGACCTCTTTCTTGTACCCACCCATATTTCTATTAAGCATTTAGACTGATCCCAACTTTTACTGTAGTTAATGTGCCACAAATGCTGTGTGTGTATGTGTGTGTGTGTGTGTATAATTTCACATATATAAAATTGTTGGAATAAATCTGTAGATGTGAAATTTCCAGGTCAAAGAGACACATGATTTACATGTTTTTTAAAGATTTTATTTATGTCTCTGCTTCTTTCTCTGTGTCTCTCATGAATAAATAAATACAATCTTTTCAAAAAGAGAGGGATTTGGGCAGCCCGGGTGGCTCAGCGGTTTAGCGCCGCCTTCAACCCAGGGTGTGATCCTGGAGACCTGGGATCGAGTCCCACGTTAGGCTCCCTGCATGGAGCCTGCTTCTCCCTCTGCCTGTGTCTCTGCCTCTCTCTCTCTCTGTCCCTCTCATGAATAAATAAATAAATCTTTTTTTAAAAAAAGATTTTATTTATTTGAGAGCATGTGAGCTGGGGTGCAGGGAGGGGAAAATAATCTCAAGGAGACCTTGTGCTGAGCATGGAGCCTGTCTCTGGGCTTGATCTCTCCTGACCTGAGCTGAAACCAAGAGTCGGATATTCAATGGACTGAGTCACCCAGGCACCTCATGATTTACATTCTTAAATGTTTTGATAAATTGTCCTCCAGAAAAGTTCTATCAACTTATACTCACTCTGATTCCATGGAGAGAATGACAACCTTTTTTTTTTTCCCCCATCAGTGTAGTGTTTTCACACTGTAGATTAGCAGCTTCTTTTTTTAAGCATATTCTCTTTCATTTTGGTGCACAGTTTTGTCTCTTCCCTCTTGCATTGCTAACTTTTTTTTTTAACGATCCAGTTAGTATCTTTTTAACGTCTGTTGAATTTATAGAAAAAAGCCTGGTTTGTTATAAGTGAGGCCATTAGCAATTGTATGGTCAATATTCACTTCTGTTTGGTCAGTGATTTCTCCTCATTCTGTTCTCATTTGCACTACTCTGGCTTAAAGGGTGGGGATGAGCCTGGAAATCAGTGTGGAAATAGTTTACCAGCTCTCTTGGGGGTCAAACCCATGTTTCTTATAGTTCTCATGGAATTCTGGAGGTGGAGCTAATGCTGAGATTAACAGGAATCCCTTTATTAGGACTTGTAGCTAGCAAATGAAGGTTTCAGGAACCCATACTTCTTGCTTTCATCTGCATGTTTAATAGAATGGTTTTGGAATGAGACAGGCAGAAGTTCAAATTTTGACTCTTCCATTTACTTTCCAAATTAGCTTGGGCAAGTTATTTTAACACCGCTTAACCTCAGTTTCTTCATTTATGGAAAGGAGGCCACAACACCTACCTCTCAGCGTTGTTGAAAATCATAAACGAGGTAGCATTTATAAGACACCAAGTCCAGTAGTTAAGATACAGCATAGGTGGTCAGCAAAATGGTAGTTACTAGTAATATCAGTAAATGATGACTAACATCACTAGAATCACTAACATTTGCAGGTAAGACTTCATAAAAGTTTTGTGAGCTTTTTGAAAATAAGATATTGGTCCTTGTTTTACACTTAAAAACACCGCAGTGTGTCAGAGCAGCCCAAGATGGCTAACTTTGAGAATTCATCACTCATGCACCCCCAGGGGATTTTAATGAAGTGTTCAGTGATGTCTAGTTATTACTTAATAATGACAGTCCCCTCAGGGAAGGGGCAGCACATGCATTCGCCCAGTATAGCATTATCAGTTCACACCTATGAAGATCAGGTCTGAATTACTAAACATGGTGACCTGGGTAATAGCAGATTTTTAGATCCAAGAAACAAAATTTCCTTTAAGTTTGATCACTTACAGAAAGGAGCTAGTGACCCCCAGCCAGAAAATATAGATGGAGATCTGAAGTCTTAGAGAGAATCTTGTGACCGTGCTTTAAGAGCCTATGTGAAAGATCATTATTCCTATGGCTTCTGTAATGTTTATGGTAAAACTATAGATGGGTAACAGACCATCATTGCATGTATTGAAAACCACTAGTTTCAGTCTAAAAACTTCTGGAAAGATTGTTGGAGAACAGAATTGAAGCTCACTGTCACACCACCTACAGCCCAACTGGTTGGAGTACTTAAGTTTCAGGTTCACATTATGAAGATAACAATGTTCAGATGGTTAGTCATAAAGGTGTACAGGATTCAGTAACTGCTTCAAATGAAGTCCAAATTGCCAAGGAGTTCATTAAAACCATAGAGCATGCAGAAAATGAATATCAGACAGTGTTTAATGAAAACTATCAAATAATGTCAGACAATTACATTCAAGGCCATATGCTGGCAGCTTCCAGTTCTTTGCCCCCAAATCGACTGGAACAAGATACTGAGCTACAAGATTGGCAAAGAAATGCAGAACACTTAAAGACTGAATGTAGGATTCTTTGGTATGTGGAAAGAAAAGATTCAATATGTGGTCATATAGTAAATAAGTGATTTATCAACAAGGGTGATATTTTTATTACAAAAACATAGTTTAAGAGGTACCTGGATGGCTCAGTTGGTAGAGCATGTGACTCCTGATCTTGGGAGTTGTGAATTTGAGCCCCATGTTGGGTATAGAGATTACTTAAAAATAAAAAAATAAATAAAACTTTTTTTAAGATTAAAAAAAATTATTTGAGGGAGAGAGAGAGCGTTCGTGCATGAGAGCATGGTGGGGGATGAATAGGGGGAAATGGAGGAGCAGGCTCTCTGCTGAGCAAGGAGCCTGACCACGACCGTGTGGGGCTCAGTCCTAAGACTCCAAGATCATGACCTGAGCAGAAAGCAGATGCTTAACCTACCGAGCCACCCAGGTGTCCCGCCTCCAAAATTTTTTTTTAAAGTGTTTTTGCTAGGGCTTTCAAAATTATTAGGTTTTCTAGACTTATGGAATACTGTTGAACCTATAACTTCATCTTGATTCTTTCTTGTTCTCTGCCTTGTAATTTCCTGTTTTCACTGTATCTACTTGTAAATTTTTAAAAAAATTCTGCCACATTTAATGATGGTCAGAGAGATCTATCCTGGAATCATTTTACTATTTAGAAAATTTTCCTAAAAAAAAAAAAAAAAAAATTTCCTAGCCATGAAGTCCTATTACTAATATAGACAGGTAATATGCTCAGTATTTTCCTACCCATAATTTTCAAAGCACTTCTGGTACTTGAGTTGTTTTTATTGATCTGCCAACAGCTGAAGAGGCTATGCTACAAACTAGCTGAATGGAAGACACATAGATCTCTCTCCCTCTGACTGCTTTGATTATCATTTATAGCATCTCATATCTGTAGTATTCAAAAGTTTGGATTGGGCTTTTTAGGTCCTTTTGTGTGGGCAAAGAAAGTTTTCTGGAAATTCCATCATAGCCAGCTTCTGTGGGGAAGTTATTTTTAAATCCAAAGACTTGAACCACATTCCCTGCACATGAATGTGTTTGCATTTTTTCTCTTACCTCATTGTCTCCTTCCCATCTAGTACCATTATAGTTACAGGGATCTGCATTTTTAGAAGAGTTTTACCCATTATTATTTTTTATTATTCAAGAACTGTTGACGTATTAGGGATATAGTAGAGTATAAAACCGGAAAAATGCAGATGTTGAAGGAATAATAGGTATCTTGTGCTTTAATATTTTGTAGCAGATGAATCAAACAACTATGTAAATCACCAACAGAAACTAAAAATGAACCAAAGTGTGAAAAGAATACATTCCAGGTAGAATCTTTCTACTGTAATTTGTTATTTAAGGGAGTACTAGTGATTTGTTCTAAATAAGATGTAAAACTTGTTCCAAATTCCTCTTCCTCAGTCCTGCCTGCCAAGAACTCAAATGTAACAGTGATACAGAAACCTTTCCCACGTACTTTGGCAAGTATATTTGTGATCTCAGAATATAAAGGTGATGTAGGTATGATATGACAATTGGTAATGGTGGGCTTATTTACATTGTTTACACTTCTATGACCAGGCCTTAAGGGAAAGTTAGTTTTTAAAAAAAAGTATTGACTTCCTCCTTATCTCCAAATACATGTCAAAAAAGAAGGATGTTTGTGCTTCAGATTTGTTTTTGCTCAGTAATACAGTCAAGCAACTTTGTTTCCAGGTGACCCATTGAGCTGTGTAAACATTATTACTTCAAATAAAATATATTTGTACTATGTGTATTATCTATTCATATCATGCTATCCTTTTTACCAGGTAGTCCAATGGGAATATACCTGTTTTGTTCTAAAAAAAAAAAAGTATGGTATTTTTAGATATGTTAGTTTTATTAGGAATATACTGATGATGTTCATGTTCATTTCTTTGGTTCTTTCTCAGATGTGGAAGAGCTGACACCAGCATTGGATTTACTTTGCTCAGCAATTAGAGAAAGTGATTCTGAAACCCAAAGCAAACACTTTTCAGAACAGTTGCTTAACCTTACACTGTCTTTTCTTAACAAACAAATAAAGGAGCTTTTTGTTCACAATGAAGGTAAGAATAGCAGCAAAGAGGGGTGTAACTGCCCTATTCCTGTGTCAGGATGGAGATACAAGTGGTAGATCCTTTTGCATGAGAGAGCATGAGTCAATAGAGTGCTGTTTACTAAAGCTGAGAAACGTCAGTGTATGATTGATGAGTGACATCGATTCTAATCCTGGGAAAGTTGACAGAAAGGACCAATCATTGTGTAAAGGATTGTATTAAAATATAGAGCTACTTGTTAATAGGAAAAAGCTCAATTTTTTTTGTCTGAAATTTGAAAACACTGAGTTTAAATTTTGGCATTTTCTAGAATTCTTTATAATCATAACAGCTTATGGCTTCTTCTGTCTAGTTCTTTCTCTATGGATATATATACATACACATATATTTTTGTATATATTAAATTGGCAAATTGGTGTTTTCCATAGAATTAGATGAACATCTACAGAAAGGAGTGAACATTTTGACCAGCTACATTAATGAACTTCGAACCTTCATGATAAAATTTCCTTGGAAGATAGTAGACCCAGTAGATGAATATGATGTAAGTGAAAATGTCCTCAAAGTAAGAGAGAGTGATACATGGGAGAAACTCAGCATTGAGGTAAATATGAATAATTATCACTCATTTTATTTGCCAGATTCTGAAGATCTGAGAAAACAAACAGAATTTAGAATCTTACACTTGTGATTCAGAATCTTTGGCAAGGGTTTTACATTTTACAGATTTGGAGATCTTTGGACACAACTTCAAATTTATGTCTACAAACTTCATTTATTTAATTTAGAACACAGGTTCCCTCTTCATGCCTGATCTGCCCACTTGGATCCAGTGACAGGCACCCAACCCCAGACCCATGTGAAGTGGCACACTGTTAACAATACTTCCTCAATAGCTAGAACCTGGCACTTTAGACTTAAGTATCTGCCTGAACTTTGAATAAATCAAATTGCTGCTGATGGTTTGATCTTAGGAAACTTTTATTTTATGCCATTATGTCTTAGAAGTATACTCGATTTGAGTCCTATCTTAGATTCTAGTTAGGATATCTTGCCTTTTAAATTTTCTGTGCCTACCTGCTTGCTTTTCTTTTTATAATAGAAGTCAGTACAACCAAACTGTGTTGCCCTCCTTATGACTAGGGCTTGAAAGAATCCTTCCACCCACGTAGAGAGCATTGGCTCTGGAAAGACAAAGACCAAAATGTTTAACCCAGATGATCAAACTCAGTAGGGAGTGAAAGGGATAAGTTTGACACACTGGCAGGTTTGCAGGACTGCTGGTCTTGAGGTGGAGGAATAGGGAAGTACCTGATGTGACTGCATTTTCTGTATTTCTTATTCTCAAGCCAAAAATTACTTGATTTTCCCTCTACTTTTTTGGTTTCTCTTTTCCAGTCACCTTTGCAGGTTTCATTTTCTGTTTTTTACCCTTTAACTTGCTCCAAGGTTCCATCCATGGTTCTCTGGTCTTTTGACTCAAAATAATTGATTTTTAACTCTACTTTGATAGAGGCTGTGGACTCTGTCTTCAAAAAATGCTTGTGAATGTGTACATGTATACATACATACAGTTTTGCACATGGCTTAATGGGATTTACAGACCACTCTAAAGCCCCAGGTTAAGAATGCCCCTTTTCTCTTCAGTCTTGGGTGTAGGTCTTCAATGTAGGTCTTTATTTCTTCTAGGTAGGATTGTTATAGGAACCTTCTAATGCCTTACTATACTGAGCTTGAATCCCTTTCAATCCATTCCCCACATTGCTGCCTGAATATTCTTCCTAAAGTATATATCTGATTAGATCTCCTTTGGCTTTTAAGATTATGTAGTGTATCCACATAAGTTTTAGGATAAAATCCATCTCCCATGTATGGCACCGTGCATGGTGGAACCTCTGCTTTTCTTTCAAGTCTCACGGGCTACTCTGTCCAGCTTTTTCTCCAGTTAAATTAATTCCGAGGTTACTAAAGCCTGATACTATTTCTTGCCTTTATGCCTTTGTACATAGTCTCTCCTTTATTTTTTAAGATTTTATTTATTTGAGGGACTCCTGGGTGGCTCAGCAGTTGAGCACCTGCCTTCAGCTCAGGGCGTGATCCTGGAGTCCCAGGATTGAGTCCTGCGTTGGGCTCCCTGCATGGAGTCTGTTTCTCTCTCTGCTTATGTCTCTGCCTCTTGCTCTCGCTCTCTGTCTCTCACATGAATAAATAAATCTTTTTTTTTTTTTTTTTTAAAGAGAGAGCATGTGCACACACTCGTGTGAGCACAAATTTGGGGGAGGGGCAGAGGAAGAGAAGCAGATTCCCCAGTGAGCCAGGGAATCTAGGACTCTGAGATTATAACCTGAGCCAAAAAAAAGATGCCCAACTAACTGAACCACCCAGGCACTCCCACAGTCCCTCTTTTTGGAATACTTGTCCTTTTTCCTCAATGTATAACATATATATAACACTTGCCTTGTAAACTTTACCTCATTAGTCTTCTCTACTAGGATGTCTTTTCTTTTTTGTTACCCCTTTTATTTAAATGTTTCTTCTGGGTCCTCCTTTCTAGCACCCTGGGATACCTGTAGCATTGCCTCTATCATATAGGACTATACTCAGTTATTTGTGTATTTTCCACTAATCTAAAAACAGGGTCTGTGTTTTGGTCCACTTCATTTCCCCTATGCAAAGCCCCAAATCTCACAGCAGATTTTCAGCAAAAGTCCATTAGGTGCTCAATAAATATTTAAGTCCCATGTAGATCACCATAATAAGGAAATAAAAAGTAATTTAAACAGCAGATATTTTCCTTTTTTTTTTTTTAGGAAGTTATTGCCAGTGCTATTTTAAACAACAAAATACCAGAGGCACAGACTTTCTTCAGGATTAACAATCATTCTGCTCAAAGACTTGAGGAGCTGATTAGAATAGGCCTAAATTTGGTCTTTGACTGTTTGAAAAAGAACAATATAAAGGAAGCATCTGAACTTTTGAAGAATATGGTGAGTTGTATAATCTGTCTGATCTTAAAGTATTTAATGTAAGAAAAAATCTCTATTTAATACAATTTCTGGTTGATAGAGAAATTGATTTGTTCCTAGTTGTGTCACAAACTAAGAAATTTACATAGCTTGTACTGGGAAATAATAATAGAAATGTTCTTTAGTACTGATAACTTTTTTTGAGGAGGTTTTTTTTGGTGGGGGAGTTGCCATCATTTGCCCTCTGTTACACTTGGCACTTTGGTTAGGAAACAGTGCTTTTCTTAGAAGGTTTCACACATTTCAAAGCATGCACAGGACCTCATTTTTAAGGGGACATTCTGGGTTCTTTGTGTGAACCTTTATATCTCCATTTGAACTTTTTAGTGGCTTCTACCTTTGCTTTGTGCTTTGTGGTTTTATTTCATTTGAGAAGGGAAAAGTCCTAGAGATAGGCCTCCTGGACTAAGCTGAGACCTGGCCCTAATCTGTATGGTTGGCGTCTTGCCCATGCTAACTTTCTGGAGATGTAGAGGAGTAAAACTATGTAAGGGTTGTGATTTGCATGGACTTCTGTTTTCAAGTAAATCATTATAGAAGATACCTGGAGTTTTGCTCATATGGTAGCCCCATCATTATCTTAAATTGTTCTGTGTGCTGCCTTTGTCTGGCAAAATGGCTAAGGGCTTTAGGGATAGGAGATATATATAATAAATAGAATGAATGTTCACAAGAGCCGAAAAACTGTAGAATTTTAATAGGATACATGTCTATAATAGAGTACTTCTTTATACAACATATATTTATGTTTAAAACCTCCCTATTACAAAATATAAAGGTTTTGAAATTTTTCTCTGTTTACTATAGGGCTTTGATGTAAAAGACCAGTTGCTCAAGATATGTTTCTATACAACTGATAAAAATATACGGGACTTTTTGGTAGGTAAAGGTGAGGCTATATAATTTATATCTTCTAGTAAACCTTGGTGAAACTACAAATGAGTTATTTTAATATTCAGCTACTATCTAGTAAGTAAAAGTATGAGAACTCCTTTGTATTTTTTAAGGATTGTTTAGCATTTGTGATAAAAGAAAATTTGTGTTAATTTTTATATACCTCAAAAATTCAAAACAATTTTTTTTAAGATTCTATTTATTCATGAGAAACAGAGAGAGAGAGAGAGAGAGAGAGAGGCAGAGACACAGGCAGAGGGAGAAGCAGGCTCCATGCAGGGAGCCCAAGGTGGGTCTCGATCCCAGGTCTCCAGGATCACACCCTGGGCTGAAGGCAGTGCTAAACCGCTGAGCCACCCGGGCTGCCCCAAAATATAATTCTTAAATGGCTTTAAATCTCATGACATTTGTTTTGCAACTTTGCTTCATTTTTGTGAGGTCACTGGTTAATTATTCTTTATTCAGGTGGAAATTTTAAAAGAAAAAAATTATTTTTCTGAAAATGAAAAAAGAACTATAGACTTCGTGCATCAAGTTGAGAAGTTTTATTCAGGACATTTTCAAGAAAATATGCAGATCCAGTCCTTTACCAGGTAATCTCATTTTCCCACTTTTGATAATTTGGAAAAAATACTGTGGACAATGTTTAGTTTATAAGTATTAGTGAGAACAGGCTTTTTATGTGGAACTGAGCTTATGTTCTCTCTATGAAGATAAAACTTGTACCATCCAGAAAGGACTCAGGAATTTCCTATCATTTCCATATATGTATAATCACATATATATTTTTAAGACAATAAATACAAAAATGAAAGACAATAAATACAAAAATGAATTGTGTTCACTGAAAGAGTAGAAGTTCATGAACAGATAAAAAGGAATGATGCTTTTTCCCTCCAAAAGTAAAAACATTTATATCGCTGTTTTAGGTATTGGATAAAGGAACAGGATTTTTTCAAGCACAAATCTGTTTTGGACTCACTCCTGAAATATGATCCTAAAGATAAATTTAACAAACAGGACCATAGAATTGTGTTAAATTGGGCTCAGTGGTGGAATCAACTAACACAAGAATCCATCCTTCTCCCCAGGATAAGTCCAGAAGGCAAGTGTAAAGAACCTAAAATCTAACATGTTGAATAAGGATTAAATTAGGCATTGATATTTGAAATTTTCATGAGTCTTCATTTTAGAATTCCTTTTGGAGGAAAAACAACAGTTGCTTTAAAAGGCGAGTCTGCATTAAGACCTCTTTCATATCTCAAGATTTTTGTGAGGTATTTATAATGTGATAGTGGAAGAGAAAAGCCGTATGTTTTGGTGAATTGAGTTTTCAAAGCTAAGAATTCTCTTCCTGGCCTCAAAGTTACATCTTTGTTTTTCCAAATAGTCTGCGAGTTTTTTCTTTTGCATACCAAGGATCTGTATCACATCAGGGCTCTGGGGAACAAACAGTGATAATTCATGGAACGTTAAATTCATGTTTACTATTACAGCCAAAGTTTTTATTTATATTAAGGAAAAAGGAAGAAGAGACCTGAAAAGATATGTGAAATAACAGCTAACTTCCATGTTTCATTTAATCACTGTAGTAATGAGAAGCAACATTTAGCTCTTGATTATGAAATGAGCACTAAGGAGGAAAATAGTAAAAGGAGTAGCAGGCCTGCATAATTCATGTTATATAAATATTTGGGCAGATCATTATATCTATTCAGTTAACTAGTGTTGAGTTTCATGTCAATAACCATAATTCATTGCTATTTTAAAATGCCTTTTATTCTTTTTTTTAAATGTATTTTATTCTTCTTTTTTTTAATGTCTTTTATTCTTAATGCAGAATACAAATCATGTTCTCCTGAAGCCCTTTGGAGCTATCTCACAGCCCATCATGACTGGTCAAGCATTAGCTTGTGGATTGAAGAATTTCAGGCCCAGAACAGTTGTGTTTTACTGCAGCAGAACAAATGGCCCCTTCTGACTGTTGATGTTATAGACCAGAATACTTGCTGCAACAACTACATGAGGAATGAAATTTTAGATCAGCTGGCCAGGTTGTGTAACTGTGGGGAAAAATACAAGAAAGGTCAAGAAAAAATAATGGTGTAATTTTTGCTCTGAAATGCCATAAATCCAATGCAATCTTGTTTTATAGTATTCAAAATTATAAAGGTATTTATCTATTGAGATTTTAAAATCCCACACATTTAGCATCATGTAGTAGTGAATAGGCTCTCAAATTGTAGATAAAGGTTTTCTGCAAGCCATTATATGTGCTTTGGTATAGAAGTGGTCAGCTGTCAGGCTACAAGGATCAAATGGCAGGAGGTGGGATGAGGATACCTTAGTATCATGTAATGTCTGCCACTCTACTCCCAGCTGTCCCTGTATGCTGCATGTGGACTTGAACTAAAGAGGATTGCTCAATTAAGAAATTAATGAGGGGAAGTAGCTCTTGAAGTGATGAGTGGAGACTTTAAAATTTTAATTCATTGCTAAAAATAATTCTGTTAGATTGAACCATGCAAACTTGCCATTTGTGCAGGTCAAAGATGGTTGAATATCAACAATTTCATATGGTTCAGCCTAAGCTGTCTTTCTAAGCTATTAAAATAATATAAGGAGACAATAACATATGTGTTAATTTGTTAAGTTTCATAAAGTTATTCCTGTGTATTTATTTTGTGTTTATACTTATTGGGGAAGTATAGCTATATTGTCCAACCCAACTTGAAGACGTGGAGAGTGAGATCTGGAGAAGCTAGGAGCTTTGCCCATACCAGTTACTTGCAGACTTCAGTTCTTTTACCCGACTTGGCACTGGCTGGTCTTTCCATTGTACTAATTCCTCTTCTGGTTTACCGGATATAAAATTACTATAACTTGCATGCTTATCAAATATGTAGCTTAATATCTGATTGTTTAAAAAGCTAGTATATGTATGATTTAACATGAATTATGACATTAATGAGTTAATGAGATCTACAGTAACAGAAGGGAAAATATACCACCCTGATAAATACAGAAAAGCATTTGATAAAATTCAGCATCTATTTATAATAAAAGCTACATATTAGCAAACTAAGAATAGACAAATTACCTTAGCTTGAAAGGGGTATCTAAAAAAAAAATTTTTTTTTTCTAGCTAACATTATGCTTGATGGTGAAACATCACAAACATTCTCTTTAAATTTGGAGCAAGACAAGCCTGTCATCAGTTCTTCCCAAGTTGATCTTTAGATATAATGAAATCTCAGCAGTTTTCTTCTGGATTTCAACACGCTGATTATAAATATTTATATGAATGCAGAGGGTCAAGACTAGCCCTGAAAAAAGAACTTGCCCTACCAGATATAAAAGCTTATTTTACAGCTATAGCAATTAAGACAGTGGGAGTATTGGTTCAAGGATAGACAAATAGACAATAGAACAAAATAATGAGCATAGAAACAAATTTCCGCGTGTATGCTCACATTATATATGACCGAGTGGCACTGCAGTGTGCAAAGAACAATCTTCGATAAAAGGGGCTAGGATAACTGGATAGCTATGTGGGGGGGGGGGGATTAAATTGGACTTTCTGGCTTCTATCATGCATACAATCAATTTCAAGTAGATTTGAAAACCTAAATGGCAATGTAGACAGAAGCTCTATAAAACTTTTAGAAGATGTAGAATTTCTTCATGACCCTGGGAATAGGATGTGCTTTCTAAACAGCCTAGAGGGGTAAAGGAAGAGAAGGGTTACTGAGACCTAGAGAGCTACCTGGCAAGAGTTGTGTCCCCTAGTGGAAAGTGTCGGTCAGCCTGCAGTCACTCAGCACAAAGAGAGTCAAGGTATCCCCATCCTCTTTTTTCTGACTCTTATTACCATTTGATGTGGGTCTCCCATTGGGTGAACCAGAATGGAAGCCTGGGAACACTGGAGTCTTCTGTCCAAGTGATCATCTAGAGACAGAGGGCAAGAGAAGAGTAGAGCTTGGATCTGGAAGGGAAAGGTATCAGGGCACACAGGCATTTCACAAGAGAGGAGGCACAAATGGCCAATAAGCATATGAAAAGATGCTTTTCTTCACTTGTAGTCATGGAAATGTAAATTTAGTTTGCCAAAAATCTAGGAGCACTTGCAATGACCATCAAAGGTAGAGCATAATCATGTAGCATAATCATACAATGGAGTATTATATAACAACAAAAAGGAACAAATTTAAAAAAACAAAAAAAAAAAAACAAAAAGGAACAAATTGTAGTTATGGGTGTTGACATGGTTAAATCATACAATGTTGAATAGAAGTAAGACTAAGAACAGTATATCCAGAATGTACCATTTATATATAAAGTTTAGAATAGGCAAAACCAAACCAGATTATTTGGGGTTATATATATGACTGGTAAAACTAAGTAAAAGTAGGGAATGGTTATTACAAAGTCAGAATAGTGGTTACCTCTAGGGGTAGCAAAGGACATGCAGTGGGAGAGGAATATACCAAGGGCTTCTAATATAATACTCTATTATCTGGCTGATGGTAACATAGTATTTCTATAAATGCCACATTATATATGTTCTGTTTTCCTTTGTGTGGTATATATAGTTAACAATAAATTTGTAAAAAAGTAATATTAATGCAAATTTCTATTCTTGTTTAGTAGTTGATTTAGTTAAATTCTGCTTTAGTTTTTTTTTTTTTTAAGACTTATTTATTTATGATAGACATAGAGGCAGAGACACAGGAAGAGGGAGAAGCAGGCTCCATGCAGGAAGCCCCATGTGGGACTCGATCCCGGGACTCTAGGATCACGTCCCGAGCAGAAGGCAGACACCCAACCACTGAGCCACCCAGGTGCCCCTGCTTTAGTTTTTTAAATGATTTTGTTACAGTATTTTGGAAATTCTCAGAGGTTAAAGCCTCTAGCTTCAAGACCTAACGACTATTGCCACAGTGGATTGTACAGTTCCAGTCAAAACCACACACACCAAAAAAATGGAGATAGATTTGGTTTTTGAAATATTTAAGATCACTCTAGACTGTTATTACCTTAAATACTAAAATGGTGCACAAACCTTCATTAGAAACTAGCAAAATATGCATGCATCAGAACATAGTTATAGAGTGAGACTTGACAGTCTTAATTTATAAATCTTTATTTTTAAGTAGTTGAAACTTCAACAATGGAAGTGGTTTGGTCAGCTCTGACTCTAGCAACTTTGTAACTTGCCATCTCTAAAACCTGCCCAACAGGAATGGAATTTTTCTTCAATCTGAGCTAGAAGACTTTGAACTCTTCCTGCTAAGACTGAATCGCATTGGGGGTGTGATGCAAGATGCTCTCCCCATTCAAAACTACAGATCCAAAGAAGGTTGGGATTTCCATTCTCACTTCATTCTCTATTGTTTGGAACACGGTCTGCAGTATCCTCTCTATGTCTATCTTGACTTTCACAAGTGAGTACTGAAAACTGATTTGTCCTTGAGCAGGTCTTCTTGTTTTCTCTTTCCATACTACTTCTGAACATGACTTTTAGGAAAATATTAAATATTTACTTGAGGAATACTAATCTTTTTGTAGGAGTCCCCTGCCCCAACCCAAATCCAGCACTCGGTACCTTACTTAGTTCAATGCTGCATTCAACTAAATGCTTATCATGTGTTTTTTGGTGATGTTAATCTTATAATGTCTCTGTTAATCTTTTAAATTACTAGAGAGAATAAAATGAAAGAAATGCTTTAAAAGTTTAAAAGAGGAAGATTCTAAAAGTTAGCTTGGAGTTCTTTATTACCTTCCTTCCCAAACAAATGAATGCTAAACAACTTTGAATTCATAACCACTTCAAGTTATGTTAGGTATGCCCTAAAATTTATATTTAGATAGGCAAATATACATCAGCAATGTACCTGCCCAATATTAACCTGCAGAATCATATGTGGCCATTGTGAATTACTACTGGCTCAGTAATAAAAATTATTATAGTCTCTAAATATGAGTACTTACAATGTTCTTGGCACTAGGCTAAGTGCTTTACATGTATTATTTCATCTAATATTCACAGAAGTTCTAGGAGGTGGTTACTGCCAACTCCATTCCACAGGTGAGACAACTAGGTATCTTATTGATTGATTGATTGATTGATTTCTAAGTACCTTATTTAAACTACACAGTTCTAGCAAATGGCACAGCCAGACTTAATTCTACTTAGGTTTGATTCTAGAGTCCACCCACTTAGGTGCTAATGAGAACATTTTTATATTGTGTATTAAAGACTAGGAAGGAATTCAAACAAATGATGTTTTTCTGGTTCATATCACTGAGGCTTATTTAGACAATAAGCCTGGGGAAATCTTTTTCCCTCAAAGCTACTGGCAAGAGAAGATTTAAAAGTTATAAGTTCAGAGGACCTATTCTGAGATTTAATTTAATTCTTCAGTCCCAGCTTCTCTATAGTATGTAAAAGTTTTCAAAAACCTCTGGAGTTTGAAAATGCTGAAGAGTTTTTGTTGTTTAAAAAATACAATAAAGTAAAAAGTATCTTACAGGACAGGATATCTGTTAATCTAATAGAGTTGGTAAGATTTCATCATGGAAGTAAACACATTATAAATAAAATTATGTCTTTAAATTTTTCTCTATTTCCAGATCATAATGAATATGTAAAGCACAACACAAGAATGGCAGTATATAATGTTATATTTACTTTTAATTCCAAAGTTCCTTTTTTAATGCTAGTTATCATCTGAGCAAATATGGTTGTAACTGTCTTATCCTGTATGTTAACCAGAGTTCTTTTGTTTTATATACAGACTTAGTCCTTCAAATTGTCCCTTTTTGGAAAAAAAAGAATTACATGAAACTCACCCTTGGTTTGAATTTTTGGTTCAGTGTCGACAGGTTTCCAGTAATTTAACAGGTATGGGTATACTGTATTAAATACAAAAATCTCTTTGGTTAGGGGCACCTGGGTAGCACAGTGAGTTAAGCATCCAACTCTTGGTTTCTGCTTAGTTTGTGATCTCAGGGTCGTGAGAACAAGCCCTGCATCAGGCTCTGTGCTCAGTGTGGAGTCGTCTTGAAATATTCTCTTGCTCTCCCTCTGGCCCTCCCACTCATGCTCTCTTTCTCTTTCTCTGAAATAAGTAAGTCTTTTTTTTTTTTTTTTAAGATTTTATTCATTTATTCATGAGAGACAGAGAGAGAGAGAGAGAGAGGCAGAGACACAGGCAAAGGGAGAAGCAGTCTCCATGCAGGGAGCCGGACATGGGACTCGATCCTGGGTCTCCAGCATCAGGCCCTGGGTGGCAGGTGGCGCTAAACCGCTGAGCCACCCTGGCTGCCTTGAAATAAATAAGTCTTTAAAAAAAAAAAAGTCTTTGCTAAATAATCAGTCTCTTGAATGGCATTTAATTTGTGAGTTCTAAATAAATCATTTGGCTGTAGACAAATATCTGACTGTCACCTAGGCTCAAGTTTTATTTAAGAACACCAAAAATGACCCCCTCCTACCAGCCAGCAAAAAGCCAGACAGCATAGTATGTGTGCTTCTGTTGCCTTCCCCTGCGGGCTCATGCTCTGTTGTCTTTTTTATTTTATTTTATTTTATTTTATTTTATTTTATTTTATTTTTATTTTTATTTTTATTTTAATTTATGATAGTCACAGAGACAGAGAGGCAGAGACACAGGCAGAGGGAGAAGCAGGCTCCATGCATCGGGAGCCCGACGTGGGATTCGATCCCGGGTCTCCAGGATCGGGCCCTGGGCCAAAGGCAGGCGCCAAACCTCTGCGCCACCCAGGGATCCCCTCTGTTGTCTTTAAATAGCTCTCACCTTTACCAGTTAATCACAGGCTGAATTCCTGTTCTCTGGTAGATTGACATCCTTTTTCTATGAAGAATTGGTCAGTTTTCAGGTGTCCGCCCTGAATGCTTTAGAAAGTAAAAAGTAACTCCAGATAGAGTGAAAAAAAAAAATACATAGTATGTGTAGGATTGTTGCATCTTCTGTAGTGGAGCTACTGAAGGGGAGTTTTGATCTGGTTATAATCAGAAAATCCCTGTGACACCCGCTGCCACCCCCTCACCCCCTTATCCCCTCAGCTTAGCTGGTATTATTCCAGAGATTCACTCCGGAAAAGGGACAGGCAGAGCCACTGCACAGGCAAGAAATACCAACAACCGATCTTTCAGTTTTATGTAACTCCTGTTTTCTTTCCCAAATAAAGAATTTTTTCGTAATGTGGATTGGGTTTTTTTTGTTATGTTTTTTGATGCTGATTATAAAATAATACATGTTCATTATGAAGAAAAATTGGAAGCCACAGACTTATCAGGAAGATAAAACTCCACAGGTAGATAACATAGGTAGATAATCATCCACAAGCAACTCTTGATGTATTTTAATGTATTTTATTCCAGGTATTCTCTCTATATGTTTTTTTTAGCCCAGTCTACATTATATTTCATTCATCCAACAAATATTTATTAAGCTCTCACGTTGTGATAATATAAGTACTAGGGATACAGCTAGAAACATCTGTGTATTTATATATTGCTTTTTTCACATAGTAATTATAAGAATTTTCCTATATGCTTAGAGACAGTGACTATTTTATATCTACCTAATATTTCATCATATGGATGTACTCTTTTTTTTTTTTTTTTAAATTTTTTTTTTTTTTATTTATTTACGATAGTCATACAGAGAGAGAGAGAGGCAGAGACACAGGCAGAGGGAGAAGCAGGCTCCATGCACCAGGAGCCCGACGTGGGACTCGATCCCGGGTCTCCAGGACCGCGCCCTGGGCCAAAGGCAGGCGCCAAACCGCTGCGCCACCCAGGGATCCCTGGATGTACTCTTAATTAACATACTGTTCTCTCAATTTTTGACACTGAGGCTGTTTTCAGTTTTTTTCTATCATAAATAATAGTCTTGTGTATATTTGAACATAGAATTTTTGTCTGTGTTTTAGATTATTTCTTTAGTGCAAATAGATTCCTGGATATGAAATTACTAGATCAAAGGCTATATACATTTTGAAGGTTCTTGCTATAAGGCCAGATTGCTTTTTCAGGGGGATTTATAGCATTTTATCCACAAGTCCCAGCTTCTACATGCCCTGACCAGCTCTGTGCTTGAGGCAGATTATTATTATTTTTTAAAAGATGTTTATTTATTTATTTATGAGAGACACAGAGAGAGGCAGAGACACAGGCAGAGGGAGAAGCAGGCCCCATGCAGGGAACCTGACATGGGACTCAGTCCCGGGTCTCCAGAATCAGGCCCCAGGCTGAAGGAGGCACTAAACTGCTGAGCCACCTGGGCTGCCCGAGGCTGATTATTTAAAAAAAAAAAATCATTGCTGATAAGGAATATACAGCATGTAATTAATATTTTACATTGCATTTATTTATTGCTAACAAATTATATATTTTTATATGTCTAACATTTATATTTCCTCCTTTGTAAATGGTTATTTACTTTGTCTACTTATCTGTTGGAGTCCGTATTTTGGGCATTGATTTGTTATGAGCCCTTTGCTGAAGACATTAATCCTTAGATTGTCATTTGCTGTTAATTTGTTGTTAAAATTTCTCCCCTAGTTCTTTACTGCCTTTCAATTTTCTTCTGTTTGTCTCAGTTTCAACACTTGTTTATATCAATTGTTGGGATAGTTTTTATTTTATGTGGACAAATCTTTCATTTTTTCCCCTTTATGATGTTTTCTTATTGCTTTTCAACTTAGAAAGTCCTTCTTACTGTGGATAGAGTTAAAAATTTTCTTCCTCAGAATTAAGTAATTCTTTCTCTTGAGAAAAACGTACTCTTTTGTTTTTCAGATCCCAAACTGATCTTCCAGGCTAGCCTTGCAAACGCTCAGATACTGATTCCCAGCAACCAGGCCAGTGTAAGCAGTATGCTATTGGAGGGACATACTCTCCTGGCCCTTGCTACCACAATGTATGCCCCTGGCGGTGTCAGCCAGGTATGGACAGCACTTTTACCTAGTATGGCAAAATAGGACTGATTTTAAATTTAGCAGAAATATCTATGTGTCTTCTAGTCTCCTTTGATATTCAAATACAACCACTTATATAAGTATTTCATTTTATTAAAGAACATAAAACAAGGATGAAGTTTTAAATTTTATATTGCATCCTCTTAAGTTGGACTGGAATTGATATGTGGTCTAGAGATTTTTTTTACCTTTGTTTTCTAAACTTCAGGTTTGTTTTCAGGGTAGAATCAGGATCTGATTGCTCCTGGAAATAACTGCACGCTAGATGTATTGCTTGGGAATCATTCTCTACTGTTTGTACTCTTAGAGAGACCAAAGGAAATAATAATTTCTAGCTATCCATATAAACTCTTTAAGCAACCCAGTGGAAATTTCCCATCTTTATTTTTTTGAAAGTACACAGTATGCCTCATTAGAAGGAACTTAAGAATGCTGCTTACCGTGTAATCTTTAAAAGCTTCTTATTGATGCTAGTTTAATATAATACCACCTCCTCCAAATTATCACAATATATTTTAATTCATATGGTTATCTGTTCCTCTGTTTTTAATCACCTATCAGAAATTAGTCATAGAGTAACTTGAGAGCTGAGAGAGAAGGTCCTCTCAGAAGGTAGGTATCATCTAGTCTAGTAATTTTTTTCCCTTTAAAAATATTTACTATTTACTATTTAAATATTTTCATATGTAGTTTAAAAACCACTGATCTAGTTGAACTTCCCAGTTTTGTAGATGAGAAAACTGAGGCCTGCTGTTAAATATCTAGCCCAAGGTCACCAGCTAGTTTTTCTTAGAACCATAACTAAAACTATTAGCTTCTGACTCTTTCACTAGTGGTTTTTTCCACTACCATATAGTTTTTTAAGCTAGTCTTGTTTCACTCTTGTGAAAAAAAAAAAAAAAAGACATTTGGAAAAGAGAAAAACCTTATTGTGTACCATGTGATCTTTTTATCTAGGTTGTTCAGGATGATGAAAATGAGACCTGTTTGAAGAAAGTAGATCCCCAGTTACTGAAGATGGCATTAACTCCTTATCCCAAGCTAAAAACTGCTCTCTTCCCACAGTACACTACCTCTAATGTTCTGCCGCCTGATATTACGCTTTACCACCTTATTCAGGTACAGTATATAGGAGTCTCACTTAGGGTACAGCCAGGAAGACTGAAACCTACTCTGGGTCTTTCAAATGGAAGACATTTAACATACATAATTACTTCCATAGTCATAGCAGAATGGGGAATCCAAACATGTGATGGTGAGACAACTCAAAAACTGACAAAGGAGGAAGCATCAACATCTCTCCAGCTGCAAGAATGGTGCAAAAAATTGTGTTATCAGAAGCTGGACCCATCTCTCTCTGGGAGCTAAACTCACAACCAGGCTGCCTAATGGGAGCTTGGAACCTACAGGGTAGAGCTGGAACCATGGAGGAGATACCTTGAAAATGAAGGAGAGGAAAATATCCTGGTTTCTGCTCTCTCCGCACCTTTAATCTCCCATGTTGTCTCTCTCGGCTAAACCTATCTGGTAGTCAAAGGGTAAATGGGCTTGGGAGATGCAGTTCTCTGTAGAACAGGAGAAAGGTGGGAATGGATCTGAGAGTTGGCCAGCATGCTGCTGGCTGCCTGCATTAAAAACCACTTTGTTCTACTACTAATGACTTCTCTCCCTTCTCAGTGAATAGGGCTATCTGTTTATTTAAGTCAGTGCTTCTTAACCTTTTTCAGGATAAAGAACTCTTTTTTTATATATATTTTATTTATTTATTCATGAGAGACAGAGAGAGAGGTAGAGACATAGGCAGAAGGAGAAGCAGGCTCCATGCAGGGAGCCCGGTGTGGGACTCGATCCCGGGTCTCCAGGATCACGCCCCAGGGCTGAACGGAGGTGCCCAACCGCTGAGCCACCCAGGCATCCCAAGGATAAAGAACTCTTTAAGAATGTGAGAGAGCTATGAGTCCTCTACCTAGAAAAATTGCACATATGTGTATAATTTTGCTTCTATTTCAGAGGAATTCAGATTCCCTGAGACCTACTCAGATCCTCCATGATAAACACATTCTTTTGTTTGCTTCTCATTTCAAAGGGCTTTTGCCTTTTCTCTCTGGCTGCACATATTCCCTTGCGGTCCTTAATTCAGCATGAACTCTATAATCTATAAAGGTACAAAATCTCTCTAATGTGAACGGTCCTTAATTTATAGAGTAGTCCTACTCAAAACTGTCGTCCTCAGATGGCTGCCAGTTCACAGACTGCTTGTTGCTGTTATGTGTTGAGATTAGGATCTTGCACTGTGATATAAATCTGTGTCATTACAGTGTTCATTCAGCAGGCTGTGTGTGTGTCTGTGTGTGTGTGTGTGTGTGTGTGTGTGTGTGAATGTAGCAAGACTCTTGAGACAGGAAGTATTAAGCTGCATTTAAATTTATTTACAAGCTTCTCATGTCCTTGCAGACTGGTAGCACCAGTATAAACTATATATAAGTAGATTCTATAAAAACATAGTTTCACTACCTAAAGTGGATTCAATCAGCCTAAAACATAAGTGGTTTCAGGTTGTTCTTTGTTGTTTTTAAAGTTGACTGTTGCAGTTTTTTGGTCTTGTTATTCTACAAAGAGTGGTCCTTCCTTAATAGACCACAAATTCTCCCATAATTTTAAATCAAAGCTGCTCTTTGTTTAGCCACCCAAATCTTTAAAGGGTTTTTTATTTTCTTCTTTATTTTTCCTACCATCTGTTTATAGTGTTTGCTACATCTCTGGCCTAGACAAATTTCAAACAGCCATGGCTCCCTGCTTTCAAACCTTTTCTGACTGGCTTAACCTTATTCCACTCTTTTTTCTTTGTTGTTGGTGGTGATTTGTTCATCACATTCCTCTAACTTTGATCTACTTGTCTCCCTCTTTCCTTTCTAGATTGGGCCTTCACTCACCTTGTCCTGTTTACATGGTAACTTTGTCTAGACTATTAGTCCTCTTGGGTTTGGATTCCAAAAGCATATCAAAAGTCCATTTTACATTATAATTGATGCTGATTCAACCAAAAGAGGGTACCCTTTGCAGACATAGTTTGAAGTGAGAAGAGTCTTTAAAAGGAATGTAGCTGCTTCCATTTTTACTAACGAAGGAAAGTATCTCATGCATTCTTTTTTTTTTTAAGCTGTGTTCAGAGAATTTATGTGCAGAAAGTTAAGGTTGGAGAAGGGAGGTAGACTACTTGCGAAGTCTTTTCATATATTTTTACTTATTTTAGAATCATTTAGCGTTTAACTCTGACTTTTCTGCTTTTTTAGTCACTATTGCCCTTTGACTCTAGCAGATTGTTTGGCTGGCAGTCTGCCAACACACTGGCTATTGGAGGTAAGTGATTCCAGGTACCTAGGGCTCTAGAAGGAAGTTTTTCAGGAATGTTGACAGTAGAAGGTTTTTGTTTTTTTAAGATTTTATTTATTTATTTATGAGAGACACAGGCAGAGGGAGAAGCAGGCTCCCTGCAGGGAGCCTGATGCGGAACTTGATCCCAGGATTCCGGGATCATGACCGGAGCCAAAGGCAGGTGCTCAACCACGGAGCCACCCAGGTGTCCCGACAGTAGAATTTAATTTATGTAAAGACAATCCATTTGTTTTCATTGATTTCTATTTTAAAAATAAAGATGCATTCTAATGACAAACATTTTAGAGTTGAAAACATGTTGCGAGTTAAATGTAATTGTAGTAAGTCAGTAGCACTGTTCTGTTCTTGCTGGGAAATGTGAGATGTACCTACCTGCTTAAATCTCTCCCTTTCCCCAAATTCCTGTTTGTTTGCAATATTATAAAAGTTAAGAGCATAGGTGTAGGCATTAGACAAATCCTGGCTCGACTATGTGATAGCTGTCTGACCTTGGGTAAGTGGTTTAACCACTCTTCAATTCCCTATAAAATAAGGTTAATAATAGTGCCCACCTCACATATTATATGAAAATGAAAGGATATAACGCATTTAAAAAGCTTGTGTCGGGGATGCCTGGCTGGCTCAATTGGTTAAGCATCTGCTTTTGGCTCAGGTCATGATCTCAGGGTCCTGGGATCAAGCCCCACTTGATTCTCTGCTGAGCAAGGAGCCTGCTTCTCCCTCTCCTTCTGACCCTCCTCCTGCTTATGCTCACTCACTCACACAATCTCTTTTTCAAGTAAATAAATCTTTTAAAAATGTTTAAAAATTAAAAGCTCTTGAAGTTTTTGGTGCATAGTAATCACCAGATGCGTACACACTACTGTCCTCTTTAGGCTATAAGCATTTGTCTGATTGTCTTTTATGCCGATTCTTAAACTCTTTTTCTATTTCTTTTTTTACTTTTAAATTTATTTTTAAAAATATTTTATTTATTCATGAGAGACACAGAGAAAAAGGGAGAGATCTAGTCAGAGGGAGAAGCAGGTTCCCCACAGGGAGCCTGATGTGGGACTTGATCCTGGACTTCTGGGATCACGCCCTGAGCCGAAGGCAGATGCTCAACCATTGAGCCACCCAGGTGTCCCTTTACTTTTAAATTTAGAGTTATCCTTTAATATTGTGGCACCTGTGGTGCCTCTGCTGAAATCACTCTAAAGTAGGCTTTAAATGAGCACTTTGCACATAATGTATACCCTGTAACTATTTACTAAGATGCGTAAAATGTATTTTCTAATATGTCAGTTTTATAAGTTCAAATTTCAATATATTTAATTTACCCAGTGCCCAAGGTTCAGTGCAGTGCCAGGCCTTTAGTAGATGTTCAATAAATACTTGTTGAGGGCTAAATAAAGTAGTGTGTATTATATTTTCAAGTGAAAATACTCTTTCTAATTAATCTCTGTAAAGTTCTCCTAGAGTGTAGACCTCATCCCGGTCCTTCCTGTTCTAATGCTTCCAACTCCAACACTTAGCCAGAGTCCTGACCCTCTTGTGGAAAAGGAGCTCCATACTACAATACTAGAGCAGCAGAGAGGAAGTTGAAGACCTATTCCCTGCCTGGTTTTTAGAAGTTTAAAACATATTTGAGGAAATAAAGCACAAAGTAAATGAGACAGTTATGAAAACATAATGTGGATTTATAAAATTAGAGATTTGTATTTAATTGGAATATTTATTTCTTTTTTCATGTGGTCTTACCATGAAAAAGAGATGTAGGATAACTGTGAGGTGATTTGGCTTCTGTGACAAGCCAGAGAAAAATTTCCCTTTGGGTAGAATTATCTCTTGTACATGCCCCCCATGCTAATTAGCTCCCAACTGCTAAGAAATCAGGGTCTTATTTGAATTAAAAACTCAAGTTAGCTCATTTGGCACCAAGCAGTGCTATATCCTTTACATGTACTCAGCAAATATTTAATGAATGAATGAACAGTTTTGTATATAATTATAAGTTACCAAGGTCACTGTGATATCACAAAGAATATAGATAAAGCATGCAACAGTTTTTTAATCTCAAAGAGGGTGTACTTTTAAGTAATAGCTTTGTAAGTTGACAGACGCCTCTCAACTCTTCAAGTCTTTTTATCTTTTTTTTTTTTTTTTTTTAAAGAGCAAAGTCACAATATAAAAAGCCCTTAGAGGGATGCCTGGGTGGCTCAGCAGTTGAGCGTCTGCTTTCAGCCCAGGGCGTGATCATGGAGACTCAGGATTGAGACCCGCATCGGGCTCCCTGCATGGAGCCTGGTTCTTCCCTCTGCCTCTGCCTGTGTCTCTACCTCTCTCTGTGTGTCTCTCATGAATAAATAAATAAAGATCTTAAAAAAAAAAAAAGTCCTTGGAATGTCACAAGATAAAACTTTTTTTCAGAAATAAGCTTTGAGGGGCACCTGGGTGGCTCAGTGGGTTAAGCATCTGCCTTTAGCTCAGGTCATGGTCCCAGGGTGCTGAGATTGAGTCCCCTGCAGGAAGCCTGCTTCTCCCCCCTCCTTCCTACTCCTCCTCTCTCAAATAAAATGAATAAATAAAATCTTTTAAAAAAAAGAAGTAAGCTTTGAACTTTGAAAATAAGAGCGAATGTACTATTTTCCAGAACTTGTTCCTTAACAGTTCAAAATGTTATTTGTTTTTTTCTTTCTTTCTTTTTTTTTTTTTTTTACAAGTAGTGAGTGATTAGGAGGCAATTAAAGATTAGGGCTCGGGCAGCCCTGGTCGTGCAGCGGTTTAGCACCACCTGCAGCCCGGGGTGTGATCCTGGAGACCCAGGATCGAGTCCCATGTCGGGCTCCCTGCACGGAGCCTGCTTCTCTCTGCCCCCAATGCCCCCCCCCCAAAATAAATAAATAATCTTTAAAAAAAAAGAGAGATAAGGGCTTATACTAACTTATCACATCCAAATATCTCCTGACTTCAGATTTCTCTAAAGAGAGGAAAAAATGCTTTCTGCCTTTTTCACGAGCACAGAGGAACTTTAAGCTGAACTACCCTGCTGGCCTAAGCAAAGTGGTCGTCATATAGATAGATAATAAGGTGCTCTAAATACAACACAGAAAGTATAACCAACAAAAGGAAATTGAAGGAGGGTATTAACGTGGAGAAAAGGATGTTCTTACACTATGTATTGGAGAAAGGTACAGGGTGTTGCCCCTGATGTATAGAGAACTCATAAAAATGTTAAGGGAATTCATTGTGTAATGAGCTCCATGAATTAATTAAAAAGCTCCTTTTGCAGACCCTTAGCAGAGATTTTATAGCTAACGCATTATCGCCATAGTGACTTAAAGGATCATCAGATACAGAATTAAGGCATCTAAAATAACAAGTTGAATGAGGAAAAAGCATAATTTATAAGTTTTTATGGAGCTTCTTGGGTACATGTTTTTGTACCCAATATGGGAGGCTGGGGCACTGAGGTGGCTTAGGTAAGCATCCGACTCTTGATTTCAGCTCAGGCTATGATCTCAGGGTTGTGGGATTGAGCCTTGTGTTGGGCTCACCACTCAGCGGGGAGTCTGCTTAAGATTTTCTCCCTCTCCCTCTGACCTTCCCCCCACACATATGCACTCTCTCCAAAATAAATTTAAAAATAAAATTAGGGGCTACATCAACACATTAAAATGAACTATTATGTTTTGGTGGTTCAGAGTAATACACAGTGGTACAAAATGACTATAGCAACTGTTTTTTTTTCTTTTTTTAAGACTCATTTATTAGAGAACGCACGTGCAAGCAGGGGGAGGGGTAGAAAGAGATTGAATCTCAAGCAGACTGCCTGCTGAGCATGGAGCCCAACACAGGGCTCGATCCAATGACCTGGAGATCAAAGCCAAAATCAAGAGTCAGACACCCAACCACGCCAGCCAGGTGCTCTGCAACTTGTTTTCTTTCACCTTTGCAAAGTTAAGTTTTCCACGTACAGATTTGAAATTAATCATGGTGAGGTGCAGAGGATTAATATTGCTTCACTTTCCCCCCAGATGCAGTGAGTCATCTCCCACATTTTTCTAGCCCTGATCTGGTTAATAAATATGCTATCATGGAACGTCTGAATTTTGCATATTATTTACAACATGGACGGCCATCATTTGCATTTGGTACTTTTCTGGTCCAGGAATTAACCAAGAGCAAGACTCCCAAGCAACTGTGAGTATTTAAAACATAATTTGTATTCTTTTTTTTTTTTTTAAGATTGATTGATTGATTGATTCATTCATTCATTCATTCATTCATGAGAGGCACAGAGAGACAGAGGCAGAGACATAGGCAGAGGGAGAAGCAGGCTCCATGCAAGGAGCCTGATGTGGGATTCGATCCCAGAACTCCAGGATTACAACCTGAGCCAAAGCCAGACACTCAACCGCTGAGCCACCTAGGCATCCCTAATTTGTATTCTTAAAAGACATATCTGGGCAGCCCGGGTGGTTCAGCGGTTTAGCGCCGCCTTCAGCCCAGGGCCTGATCATGGAGACCCAGGATCAAGTCCCACATCGGGCTCCATGCATGGAGCCTGCTTCTCCCTCTGCCTGTGTCTCTGCTCCCCCCCCCTGCCCCGGCCGTCTCTCATGAATAAATAAATAAAATCTTTTTTTTTTTTAAGGCATATTTATGTCTTTTACACATGCATTTGAAAAAAAATATACTGGAAACCTATCACAGGGGCAGCCCCAGTGGCGCAGCGGTTTAGTGCCGCCTGCAGCCCGGGGCGTGATCCTGGAGACCCAGGAACGAGTCCCGCGTCGGGCTCCCTGCGTGGTGCCTGCTTCTCCCTCTGCCTGCGTCTCTGCCTCTCTCTCTGTCTCTCTCTCTCTCTCTCTCTCTCTCTCTCTCCCTCTCCCCCCCCCCCGTGTCTCTGTGTGTCTATGAATAAATAAAATCTTAAACAAAACAAAACTTATCACAGTTAAGTAGTTATACCTGGCTAGTAATTTGATCTTTTTTTTTTCCTCCCATTTTGTGCTTTTCTGTATATTCCAAGTTTGGGGGATGTAATGTGTTTTTTGTTAATGGGAAAAAAAGAGAATAAAGATGATATTAAAAGATACTATTAAAAAAAGATACTATTTATATCTTTTAAAATTCTGTTGTGTTTTTTTTTTGTTGTTGTTGTTTTAATGACCCAGGAGATTGGCAAATATTAGCAGTTACTCTAAAGAGAGAATTGTATAATAAGATGTGAATTCTGTATTTAAGATCTGCATTTTTTTATAATTCATTTTTACTAAGCACAGAATTGGGAGTATTTGATATAATCCGCTAAATATAGATCTCCCTTATTTGTTTTGTAGTTAAAGTAATGAATATTTTCACTATTTTTTTTCTTATTTTTCAATTTAAATTCAATTAATGAACATTTAGTGTATTATTGGTTTCAGAAGTGGAGGTCATTGATTCATCAGTCTTCTGTAACACCCAGTTCTCGTTATATTATGTGCCCTCCTTAATGTCCATCCCCCAGTTACCCCATTTCCCCACCCACCTCCCCTCTAATGACCCTAGTTTGTTTTCTGTGATTAAGAGTCTCTTATGGTGGGGCAGCCCCTGTGGCGCAGCGGTTTAGCGTGCCTACAGCCCAGGGCGTGATCCTGGAGACCCTGGATCGAGTCCCACCTCAGGCTCTCTGTATGATGCCTGCTTCTTCTCTGCCTGTGTCTCTGCCTCTCTCTCTCTCTCTCTCTCTCTCTCTCTCTCTCTCTGTCTCTATGAATAAATAAATAAAATATTTTAGAAAAGAGTCTCTTATGGTTTCTCTCTCTCTTTCTCTCTCTGATTTCGTCTTGTTTCAAACTAATGCATTTTAATGATAAAATATTCAAGTAATTAAGAAGGGTGAAAAATAAAAGATAAAAGGTCCCTGAATCTCCTGTCAGCATGAGTCTACAGATGGGTAATTTCTTGTGCAACTTTCCTTGAAATTTATCTATGATGTAAAACTACATATACTATATATATATCATATCAAAATTTAATTAGCATTAATTTTCTTGGTAGTTTATTTATACACACTCATAATTGATAAGATCACAAGTCGTCAGTCTTTCAGAAGTTCTGTTCTGTGTTCCCTGGATGAAGTTGGAAACAAGAATAATTTGGCCTGTGAGTTGATGCTTTAGGAGAAGGTTAAAGATTGGGGGACGATGGAGACAAAACTACCAAGAACCTCAATGAATGTGTGCAGGGCTCAAAAACTGAAGGGAGAGGAAGCTAAAAATCACAGGGGTCTGATACTCCATGCATCATTGCATAATTCCATCTGCTTTTCCTGGTGAGAAACTGTTTTCTGATGTGATTTTGATTCCTTTCTTTTTCAGGATCCAGCAAGTAGGCAATGAAGCTTATGTTTTAGGGCTCTCCTCCTTCTACATTCCAACAGTAGGAGCTGCCTGTGTTTGTTTCTTAGAACTGCTTGGCCTTGATAGCCTCAAGCTCAGAGTTGACATGAAAGTGGCCAATATAATTTTGAACTACAAATGTAGAAATGAAGATGTTGAGTACAGCTGTATCAGAGAGGCTCTAGGTACCAGTACCTTTTCCATCTGGGGTTTGTTTTGTTTAGAGGACAAGGGATAAATAGATTTAAAGTATTGAATCATTGGTGGTTGGGGAGGAAACAATTGTCTTCCTGTTTCATCCTTTTCCTACAGAATGTTTGTACTTTATCTCATTTTCTGGGCCTTTAATTAGGTTCTGAAATGGCCCTGGGCCACACTCTTCAAACAGAAGAGTTCCTGACCCTTTCTCTTGACCATATTTTATTGTTTGTATTTCTTACAGCTGAAAAACTATCTAAACTGGCTGTGGGTGAAAAGGCCACCGTAGAGGAATTGCTTATTCTCTTAGAAGAAGGTATATGGAACAACATTCAGCAGCAAGAAATAAAGAGGTTTGTTGAATTTCCACCTCATGCTCTTTTCCAGCAAGCTTTTTTCTTCCAGTCTGTGTTTGCCTAGTCTTTCTTCTGACACCTCAGATGTTTTTACTAGTCCCTTCAGGCCATCTTACTTGGACAATATATAGTAGTTACTCAGTAAATGGACAGTGAGTTTTGATTGCTTCTTGCCATCAGTAAAGGAGGATGTAGATAGGGATGCCTGGGTGGCTCAGTGGTTGAGCATCTGCCCTTGCTCAGGGCGTGATCCTGGGTCCTGGGATGGAGTCCCACATCAGGGTCCCTTTGAGGAGCTTGCTTCTCTCTGCCTATGTCTGTGCCTCTGTCTCTTTCTCATGAATAAATAAATAAATCTTAAAAAAAAAAAAAGGGAGGATGCAAATAATCATTCACTCTTTAGAGATAAGAGTTTCCAAGAGATGGAGAACTCTGTCTCCCCACTGTCCTGCTAGTGAGAGAAACCTCTTAAGTGTTACATGTTGAAATCATTTAAGAAGATATGGGATGGGAGCACCTGGGTGGCTCAGTTAGTTAAGCATTTGACTCTTGATTTCAGCTCAGGTCATGATCTCAGGGTCCTGAGATCTAGCCCCACATCGGCTCCCTGCTGGGCACAGAGACTGCTAAAGATTCTCTCCGCCCCTCCCTTGCTCTCTCTTTTTCTCTCTCTCTTGCTCTCAAAAAAAAAAAAAAAATATATATATATATATATATATATAAAGAAAAAAGTTGGGGGATGTATCTCACAAAATTTGACTCTAAGAGTTGTCCTTAATTTTTCTCTTGCTAATATGTTAGTTGATAATGAAAGTTGAGGTGACCATCTATCCACAGAAATACCTCTATTTATACATTTATGCCATCTTTCCTCTGTGCTATGCCACCTGGAGTGACCTAGCCACCTCAGACCCTGGGAATGCAGCACTCTCCTGTACCTGCTATCAGTGACTCTGTTCTCAAGTTTTCTGCTGTGAGCAGGAATAAGTACTGCCCCTTCATGAGGAAGCCCAAGCATCTGTCTGGGCTCTGATACTGTAAAGCAAATCATGCAAAACAATTAAGCACTCAGGAAATTTCTTGAATGCTGATTTATTTAATACTCCTAAAGGTGGTATATAGCTAGTATAATCTATCTATGGATAGATTCTTGGTTGATAAAAGGAATGAATTCTGCCAGTATGCTAAGAAGACTTTTATACATTCTGGGTGCAAGAGCCCTCTTCCCGCCCCCCCCCCCCCAAAGCAGCCTAATAAACATTTGGTATTTGTAGAAAGGCTTTTTAGAGAATATACTGCAGTTAAGTTTATTTAATTTTTACTAATTTTCCATGTAAAGCTATATTTTAACAATTTTTTTCTCTACTGCCCCAACTTCCAATTACAGGTTATCTAGTGAATCTAGCAGCCAGTGGGCATTAGCAGTACAGTTCTGCAGGCTTCACAATGTGAAGCTGAGCACGTCTTACCTTAGAGAATGTGCCAAAGCAAATGATTGGTTACAGTTCATTATTCACAGCCAACTCTATAACTATCACCCAGAGGAGGTAAGCCACCATTTGTTGCCAACTATTCAAGAAGAGGAAATGGAAAACTTCAGGGAGGATGAATAGTGTTCTTTCTGTTGTGTGTACCTAGGCTTTTGTTTTATATGATACTACTGTTTTTACTAAGATTTCAGTGGGTTGGCTTCAGACAAAGAATTAGTCATTAGTACTACAGAGCTGAAGGAAGAGTTTTTGTGACTCCAGATTAAATATAGAAATTCAATCCAATAAAAAAAAAGAAATTCAATCCAAAGCAATAAATAACTTTGTAAAATGATATGGTCACTTCCCCCCACACAGTTCAAGGTGAGAAAGAACAATTTTACCTCTGCTTTTCTCTAACATTTTTCAGCTCCAGATAGAACTGGTCTTTTTAAATCACCTAATATGTTTTCTAGGTGAAATCACTTCTTCAGTATTTCAGTCCTGTCCTTCAAGACCACTTAAGACTAGCTTTTGAAAACCTGACCTCAGTGTCTAACTCCAAAATGGATAGTGATCAAGTCTGCAGCAGGTCTCCCCAGGAACTCCAGAGAAACAAAGAAGAAATGGCTGATTTCTTTCAAGTTCTACTCCAGTGCTCAGAGGAACCAAACCCCTGGTGCTGGCTCCTAGCTGAAGCAATGAAACAACAGGCTCCTATCCTTAGTGTCCTGGCCTCATGTCTCCAGGTGAGGATAATAAGAAGCCTAAATTAAGGACCCAGCAAACAATGGAAAAAGTGGAAAGGGACAGAGAAGGCTGATAATCAGAAAGGAAGTGGGGTGATGATGACAATGAGGCTCCAGCATGTATTTGTAAGGTCACTGTAACTTTTACGCTTTTCTGGCTTAGGCTCCAAGCCATCTAGTATACTTCCTTGTACCTTAATATTCAGTAACTTAAGTGGTCAGAGCTTGGTTCCTGGTTGGCAGTCATAGAGAAAGGATTGTGCCTCTTGAGCAGACAAGTGAGATGCTCTAGAAAGTCCCCTGATCAGCATTTCTGTGGAAGCCAGTATTGTTCCTTATACTTAGTACTTCCACGGTTTCCATATATACCCATTCTGTCTCTTGGTCTTTTGATATATCACACTGCAGAACAGTTTATAATAGTTCCTTGTTGCTCATTAGAATTTATTTCAGTTTGAAAGCTTTTCAAGCTAGTTTAACCAATTTCTTGAGATGACTTGTTCTAAACAGGAAATATCTATCCATGTTTGTAGCATTGCTGGAAGCCTCCAACTCCCTCTATCAGGTAATCCAGACAACTGTTTTTGAAAAGTTTTTATCCTGTGACAGGATGCCAGTACTATTCCTTGTCTCTGTGTTTGGATCATCACATCTGTGGAGGACAGTGTTGCAGCTGAAGCAACAGAACACATTCAGGGCTCAGTGGAAGGCCACATATGGGACCTTCAAGACCTCTCAGTCATCTGGAGAACATTATTAACAAGGCAGAAGAGCAAAACTCTCATCAGAGGTTTCCAACTTTTCTTTAAGGTAGTAATAGTCACTTCATTTCTTTTCTGTGTTTTAAAGGGTTACTTCAGGATACCCCTATTGGCTTTTTTAGTTGTTTTTTTTTTTTTTTTTAGCTGACAACAAGTGATGATAACTACCATTTATTTAGCAAAGAGCTTTATTTTTTTTTTTAAGATTTTATTTATTCATTAGAGAGAGAGTGCACAGAGGAAGAGGGAGAAGCAGACTTCCCGCTGAGCAGGGAATCCAGTGCAGGGCTGGATCCCAGGACTCTGGGATCATGACCCGAGCCAAAGCCAGTCACTTAACCAACTGAGCCACCTAGGCACCCCAGCAAAGAGCTTTATATATATCTTTTGATATAAAAATTATCACAATAGTCCTTTAGAAAGATAATATATTAGGATGTTATGAAGTGATAGTATTCTCATTTTAAAGTAATAAACTCAGGCTCACAGAACTTAAGTAACATGCCCAGGGTCTCAAAGTATGTTAGTAAGCAGTGTATTTATAGTTCAGATCTATACTTTCTCATTCCAAAACCCCTGTCTTCTGACTGAAAAGCCCCCACCAAGTGATAGAAATGCTGCAGACAGCAGTAGGTTGGGCAGCTCAGTGGAGTATCTCCAGCTCATGTGCAGTGACCAAGTAAAGAATAGACAGAAAATGGCTGTTGAGTAGGTATACCTGGTCTGAATATCCTTTTTCTAAAAGGCAAAATAAATAGAAATATAACCTCCTTTCTCTTTAACATACATGATTCAATTCTTTGAAATTGTTATTAATAGTACTTGTTTTTACTATGCCTCTTACATTGGTATTATTCATTAAGAAAATAGTATTGATTAGCTTCGCAATGTTTAAATTTCATTCAAACTCTTCCTCAAAGGATTCCCCACTACTGTTGATGATGGAGATGTATGAACTGTGTATGTTCTTCAAGAATTATAAAGAAGCTGAAGCTAAACTTCTGGAGTTCCAAAAGAGCTTTGAAACTGTAAGTTGAAATCCTATTGCTCTTTATCACTGATCTGAAATTGGTTAGAGTGGCCTGTTATCTGCTAGTAGTCAGGATATGACAGCAGACAAGTAGCTGGGTATGTGGCATAATTCAAACTAACTCACTTGTACTGTTCCAGAGGTGGGGAGACAGATCTCGAGTTACAGTGGCTTTGCCAACAGCACCTCAGTTGCCAGGCATGACAGAGAAGTTTCACTTGGCTACCTTTAAGTAACTCATATAAGTGGAATTGTATGGTATTTGTCTTTTGTAAATGGTTTATTTCACTTAGCATGATGTTCTCAAGCCTCATCCATCTAGAATGCAGAATTTCTTTCCTTTTAAATGCTGAGTAAAATTCCATTCTATGTATATGCCACATTTGCTTATCCATTCCTTTATCTGTGAATATTTGAGTTGCTTCCACATTTTAATTGTGCTACTATGAACATGGTATACAAATAATCTCTTTAAGATCCTGCTTTCAATTCTTTTGGGTATTCTCTCAAAAGTGGAATTGCTGGATGATGTGATAACTGTATCTTTAATATTTTGAGGAATTGTCATACTGCTTTCTATAGCAGTTGCACCATTTTACATTGCCACAGCAGTATACAAGGTTCCAGTCTCTCCACATCCTTTTCAGCATTTGTTTTCTGTTTTTTTTTTTAAGATTTTTATTTTTTTTAATTTATTTATTCATGAGAGAGACACCAAGAGAAAGAGGCAGAGACACAGGCAGAGGGAGAAGCAGACTCCATGCAGGGAGCCCGACATGGGACTCAATCCTGGGTCTCCAGGATCACGCCCTGAGCTGAAGGTGGCGCTAAACTGCTGAGCCACCCAGTCTGCCCTCTGTTTTGTTTTTAAGTAAGCTCTGCCCAATGTGGAGACCCCAGGATCAAGAGTTACACACTCTACCTACTAAGCCAGTCAGGTGCCCCCAGCCTATTTTTTAATAGAGTTTTTTTTTTTTTAATCACTCAGTTTTGGAGTTCTTTGTATATTTTGGGTAACAGTCCATTATTAGATGTGTCTTTTGTAAATATTTTCTTGCAATCTGTGTCTAGTCTTCTAATTCTCTTGAGATTTTGTTTTGTAGAGCAGAAGTTTTTACTTTTGTGATATCTAGGTGGCTCAGTCAGTTAAGTGTCTGTCTTTGGCTCAAGTCATGATCTCAGGGTCCTGGGATCAAGTCCCACATCAGGTTCACTGCCCAGCAGGGAGTCTGCTTCTCCCTCTGCCTCTCCCTGCAGCTCCCCTTGCTTATGCTCTCTCGTTCTCTGTCAAATAAATAAAATCTTTAAAAAGAAAAAAAAGTTTACTTTTATTTTTTAAAAATATTTATTCATGAGAGACACAGAGAGGCAGAGACATAGGCAAAGGGAGAAGCAGACTTCCCACAGGGAGCCCGATGTGGGACTTGATCCCAGATCCCGGGATCATGCCCTGAGCCAAAGGCGGATGCTCAATTGCTGAGCCACCCAGGCACCCCAAGGTTTTTACTTTTAATGAAGTCCATCTGATCAATTATTTTTTTCATGGATTAGGTCTTTGGTGTTGTATTCTAAAAAGGACCATGTACAAGGTCATCTAGGTTTTCTTTTATATTATCTCTTAGGAGTTTTATAGTTTTTCATTTATATTTAGGTCCTCCCAGATATCTTTTTACTCTGACCTGACTGTTCCCGCTCCAGCTTATCCCTTTGGAGGGACAGTGCACCTGTTCCATCCTTGCTTCCACCCTTTACTTCCACATATATTTTTGTTTTGACTAATTCCATCACTTACCTGCTATAGACCCTCTTCTTAGAGCAGCAGGAGTACATAAACAAGTAAATAAAGACTAAGAACTATGCTCCAATTCAGGCTAATGCAGCCTGCTACTTGGGGTCGTCTTCCAATTAATATTGCTAGCATTTGATTGTAATGACATAAATCCAGGCTTCTTAACTGAGATGCTTCCTTAACAATAGTATAAACTACAAGCAAACTGGTAGAACAAGTTGCTAGAACAAGTTAATGTTAAGTCTTTCTAAGAGGTCTTGTTATATGAATCTTAGATCTTCTGGACTCGAGGGCAGGCCTCCATCCCTCTCCAAAGCTGTTAAGTAAATTGTCAGGTCAATTTCACAGCAACTCACAGGGTTATTAGTTTGGCTGTCGCTAACTTGAAGGTATTTGCTTCAGTGCACTCCATAGTTGGCATTCAGTCTGTAGGTCTCTTGTCCATCTTTGACTTTGACACACACACAGGTCCCTACAGTAGGACATCTCACAAAGAGAAGCAAAGGGCTTATTTTTGCCACTCCTCTGAGGCATACCTCTACTTCTTGTCATTTGGAAAGGACCTGAATAAGCGTTCCCCTTTGTGATAGGAAAAGACTTTTGAGGTACCTTGCCTTTCTTATATTTTCCCAGATTGGGAGGTTTTGATTTGCTGTTCCTGTGAAACTGGTTTTCCTGACCCCCTCTTTTTTCTAGGTTGAAACAGCAGCCACAAGGGTCCACACTACCATCCCTGCCCCATGGCTGAAGGAGCAGGTGTGTTTTCTTCTGAAGCTTATGCTGCAGCAGTGTGGGACCCAGTATGAACTGGGGAAGCTTTTACAGCTATTTGTTGGAATAGAAAATTTCTTCTCTGATGGTAAGACAGTCCTGACAGTTAAGTTGTTAAGAAATTAGATTCCTTAATCTTAAAAATATTTTAGAAGGGCATTCAGGAAATTAAAATGCATATGATATATAACATTACATTTACAGTCCATAATGAGGTTTGAAGAAGAGGTTGCAGGAAAAACTTCAATCACGGTTAAAGCATTCAAAACCTAGCACAACAGGGCATAACCTAAATAATACAATTGGCTGCTCCTTCTGAGGACTTATCAGCTGCATTTCCCCCTGGCTAGTCTCTACCCTGTCACTGTCAATTTTTTTTTTCTGACAAGTAGCCTTAAAGTGTTACCATTGCTCAGGGTCACAAACTGTTTCAGAAATGACTAATTCATTTTGAAGGTTTCAAAGACAAATTATGCTTAGTTTTTACATTTCTCTCCAGACACTGGCAGTCTCTAAGGTTGTTGCTGATTGAGTGAAACCAATTATTGTCTTACCTTCTTTTCTACTTGATAATTTCAAGTTTTTGTTGAATGATTATGTTGTTGTTTTATACTAGATTCTGACATTTTCACTCCTGGGGTTATTTGGAGAGCTCATATCTGCACAGAATGGTGACAGAATGCTAGGCTCAGTGCCTGCATTGTTGGCGGTCAGGGCTGAAGATTGGAAAGAAAGGGTGTTTCCAAAGTTAAGTGTCTGTAAGATGGGACTTGTCTGTTTCTCTATAGACCAAATAGTATGTCCTTTTCACATACAGGTGTTTTTAATTTTTAAAAAAAGATTTTATTTATTTATTCATGAGAGAGACAGAGAGAGAGAGAGAGGCAGAGACACAGGCAGAGGGAGAAGCAGGCTCCATGCAGGGAGCCTGATGTGGGACTCGATCCCGGGACTCCAGGATCATGCCCTGGGCTGAAGGCAGGAGCTAAACCACTGAGCTACCCAGGGATCCCACAGGTGTTTTTATTTATCTGTAGTAATTTTAATTTTTTTCAGAAATGAATTTCCTATTTTCTTTTTTTTTAATTCCCTATTTTCTTGCCAGAATTACTGTATCCTTGAAAAATTATAAGGATTGTCTATGTTGTTAACCATTTTACTGCTTTTATTTTATTTTTTTAAAGATATTTATTTATTCATTTATTAGAGACACGGGGTGGGGAGAGAGAGAGAGAGAGAGAGAGAGAGAGAGAGAGAGAGAGAGGCAGAGACACAGGCAGAGGGAGAAGCAGGCTCCATGCAGGGAGCCCAACGTGGGACTCGCTCCTGGGTCTCCAGGATCACACCCTGGGCTGAAGGCAGCGCTAAACCGCTGAGCCACCAGGGCTGCCCATACTGCTTTTATTCATATAATTTTTTTCCATTTTTATGGAATGTTTATATTCTCTGTGTATATAATATGTATGTGCCTAAAGAAAATATTTATAAGAAAAAAAAAAAACAACCTAGGTTTTATATGCTGTCAACAAAGAAACCTAGCATCCCCCTACTGGTGGGTATTGTGCAGGGTGTCTCACTGTCCCTAGAACTACCTAAATCAGATCACAGCCCAGCAGGTGCCATTGGGAATAGGCTCCTACAGAGTGTTTTTCATGTCCCTCCTTTATGGTAGGACACAAGTCAGCTCTACATAGACCGTTTGGGAGATGGAGCAAACCCAGCCAGGTTTGGGTTTGGCACAGTCAATTAGGGGTGGCATAGTCAGTTAGGTGTCCAACTCTTGGTTTTGGCTCAGGTTTTGATCTTAGGGGCATGGGATTGAGCCCCACGTTGGGCTCTGTTCTTAGCACAGAGTCTGCTTACGACTCTGCCCCTCCCCCCAGTTTGCCCTCCCCGTAAAATGAATGAATAAATCTTATAAAAAAAAGAAAGAGACACTGCACTGAGTGTCCCTGGTTTAAGTAGTTGTCCAAAGGAGCAAGTGAAGCTCCATTCTGAATACAATGTGCTGAATTAAGAGACTTGGCTATTGCCCAGTTTTAGGTGGCCTACTGGTTCTGTGTCTTAATCCACATGACATTTGTACTGAATGAGCAAGTGAACAGTCATAAAAAACAAATTTGTTTAAGGCTGGAGAAAAATCTAGAAAAAAATGGGATTGGCCTGAATGAATGGCCAGGTCTTCCCAAGGTTGACTGAGTTGCTACTACACAGCAGGCCACCAACCTCTGCCCTGTATATAAAGCCAGCTGTGTAGATTGAGTCCTTGTGCAAATCTTGAATAGTTCTTACTATATAGGAGATGGCTTATGGCTTCATCTGCTAGCCAACCAGAGTAGAAAAATAGGTTTTTATTTTTTTCCTTATTACATTACTGTGTTAAGCATATATATTCTCCCTCTGATGGTGGCATTTTACTGATTAAATGTTTATACCCTCTTCTCTTTGGCACAGGTCCAGATGTGAAGAAGCTCTGTGTCCTTAGTGAAATTTTGAAGGACACATCCATAGCCATTAATCATGTAATTATTAGCAGCCACAGCCTTGAGAATTTTCAGCATGAATGTAGATCTATTTTGGAAAAACTGGCGATGGAGGGACAGTTTGCTTTGGCCAGGAGAGTAGCAGAATTGGCTGAATTACCTGTGGACAACTTGGTTATTGAAGAGGTATCATTAGTCTTTTAAGTTATTTGAAATCTTAGCTTTTTGAACCAGCATTAAACAGAATCAAATGAGATATGTGATTTCTAGGAGAAGAGGCTTTTTTACTTTTGACACACACATCACTTTCAGAAATGGATGAGCATCAGATCCCTGTTAGTGTAGAATGTGTGTTTTAAACTAAGGTTGGCTTACAGGATACGCTACAGCTGTTGTGCTTTGAACAGAATTAAACATAGGGTGGCTTCGTCTTGAACCCCCTTCCCTAAGATAAATTCAGAATTAGCTTTTATACTTTAACTTTCCAGATAAAATATCCCGGATCATCTATAGCCAAGTCTCATGTTCCCTGACTTGATTTGGCTTTAACAAGTACAGCATACTTCGGGAGCATTAGCACATACTTCTTTATCCCAAAAAGGCTAAAGTGTTTTGTTCAATTTCACAGATGACACAGGAAATGCAAACCTTAAAACACATTGACCAGTGGTCCCTGAAACAAGCAAGAATTGACTTCTGGAAAAAATGTCATGAGAATTTTAAGAAAAATTCCATTTCAAGCAAAGCAGCTTCTTCCTTTTTCTCAGCCCAGGCACCTGAGTGCTCAACTGAAGAGGGTCGGAGCAGCAGTGAGGAGCGCCATCTGCTGCTCACATTGGCAGCACACTGGCTTGCTCAGGAGGATCTGGTGCCGGTGGCCGAACTGGAGGAGCTAGAGAAGCAGATCTGGCTCTGCCGCATTACCCAACACACCCTCAGAGAAAAACAGGAGCAAGTAGAGCTCGGGTTTTCTCAACAGATTTCAACTAGTGGGGAACTTTCCTTTGATGGCATAGCCAGTAAGTTTTCACTCTCCATGTTGGCTGTTCTGAACACATCAAAGTACTTAGAACTCAGTGGCTTTCCATCCAAAGAGACATGTGATAGCGGACTGGATTGGAAGGAGCAGGAGTCACTGAACTTTCTGATTGGGCACCTATTGGATGATGGCTTTGTGCATGAAGCAAGTAGAGTGTGTCGGTATTTTCATTTCTATAACCAAGATGTTGCCTTGGTGTTGCACTGCAGAGCACTGGCCTCAGGGGAAGCTAGTGTGGATGACCTGCACCCAGAGATCCATGCTCTCCTACAAAGTGCTGAGCCGCTTGAGGAGGAGGAAGCTGGCATTCCACTAAGAAAAGTCCAGAGCAGTAAGTAAAGGAGATCAAACTGCCCTGAGTCCTGAGCAGAGCTGTTGGCACTCTTTCCCAGAAGGAAAGGGTCCCTTTTGGCATACTAATTATACAAGTTAAGGGTAATCCATTAAACTAGGTAATTAACTGGTCAGTGACAGAAACGTGTCTTTTAACTAGCTGTATATCAAAGTTAGAGGGAATCTATTTGACTTATAGCTAGTTCACTGAATTGATTCTATAACTGATTATGTTTCCAATTGTACATTGATAGTATATAGAAATATGCTGATTTTTGTGTTGATCTTATATCCTGTGACCTTGCTAAATTTGCTTATCCTAAGGGTTTTCTTATAGATTCCTTGGGATTTTCTACAGATGATACTATCTGTGAATGGAGATGGTTTTATATCTTCCTTTGCAATCTGAATTGCCAATGATTTCTTTGTCTTGCTTTATTTACTGGCTGGGACTTTCAGTATGACATTGGATAGGAGTAGTAAAAGTGGAAATACTTGCGCCTTGTTGCTGATTTTAGAGATAAAGCATTCAGCCTTTTTTTTTTAATTCAAGTGTAATTAATATACAATGTTAGATTAGTTTCAGGTGTACAGTGTGATTCAACAATTCTATACATAGGGGCCCCTGAGTGGCTCAGTCAGTTAAGCACCTGCCTTTGGTTCAGGTCATGATCTCAGGGTCCCTGTTCAGCAGGGGAGCCTGCTTCTCTCTCTCTCTCTCTTTGCCTTTCCCCTTACTTCTCTCCTCTGCTCATGCACTCTCTCTCTCTTAAATAAATTTAAAAACAAATACTATACGTTACTCAGTGCTCATCAGGATAAGTGTACTCTTACTCCCCTTCACCAATTTCACCCATCCCCCCACCAACCTCCCCTCTGATAACTACCAGTTTGTTCTCTATAGTTAGGATACTTTATTTTTTTCTCTTTTTTTTTCTTTGTTCATTTGTTTCTTAAATTCCATATATGAGTGAAATTATATAGTATTTCTTTCTCTGACTTCTTAGCATTATACCCTCTAAATCCATCCACTTTTTTTTTTTTTTTTTTTTAGTTTTTATTTATTTATTCATGAGAGAGAGGAAGAGAGGCAGAGACACAGAGGCAGGGGGAGAAGCTGGCTTCATGCAGGGAGCCATGCTGGACTCCATCCCGGGTCTCCAGGATCAGCCCTGGGCTGAAGGCGGTGCTAAACCGCTGAACCACCCGGGCTGCCCTCCATCCACATTTTTGCAAATGGCAAGATTTCATCACTTTTTTGGCTCAGTAATATTCCATTTTATACACACACACACACACACACACACACACCCCACATCTTTATCTACAAATGGACACTTTGGTTGGTTCCATATCCTGATTATTGTAAATAATGCTGCAGTAAACATAGGGTGCATATATCTTTTCTAATTAATGTTTTTGTATTCTTTGGGTAAGTGCGTAGTAGTGGAATTACTGGATCAAGTGGTACTTCTATTTTTAACTTTTTGAGGAACTTCCATACTGCCTTCCACAGTGGCAGCACCAGCTTGCACTCCCACAAGGAGTGCACAAGGGTTCCTTTTCCTCACCAATACTTATAATTTCTTGTGCTTTTTTATTTTAGCCATTCTGACAGGTGTAAAGTGATAACTCATTGTGGTTTTGACTTGCATTTCCCTGATGATGAATGATGCTGAGCATCTTTTCATGTGTCTGTTGGCCATCTTTATTTCTTTGGAAAAATGTTTATTCATGTCTTACTTTTTTTTTAGTTGGATTATTTGTGGGGTTTTTTGGTGTTGAGTTATAGAAGTTCTTTATATACTTTGGATTAACCCCTTATCAGATATATCATTTGCAAATATCTTCTCCCATTTAGTAGGCTGTCTTTTGTTGATAGTTTCATTTGCTGCATAAAAGCTTTTTGTTTTGGTGTAATCTGAATAGTTAAATTTTGTTTTTTTCCCCTTGCTGGAGGAGATATGTGTAGAAAAATGTTTCTACGGCTGATGTCAGGGAAATTACTGCCTATGTTTTCTTCTAGGGTTTTTATGGTTTCAGGTCTCACATTTAGATCTTTAATCCATTTTGAATTTATTTTTGTGTGTAAGAAAGGGTCTAGTTTCATTCTTATGTGTGTAGCTGTCCAGTTTTCCCAGCGTCATTTGTTGAAGAGCCTGTCTTGTAAATCATTCAGTCTTCATAGTTAAGTATACTAGCTGTAGGTTTTTTTTGAACATAGGCTTTGTCATGTTTGAGGAAGTTCCCTTCTATTCCTAGTTTGCAAGTTTTTATCATGAATCAGTGTTGAATTTTGTCATTTTTTTCCTACATCCATGATATGATCATGTGGATTTTTTTTCTTTAGACTATTAATTGATTATATTAGGTAGATTACATTGTTTTTAAAATATTAAACCAGCTTTGCCTTCCCAAGATTAATCCCACTTGGTCATAGTGCATTATTCTTTTAGATACATTACTATAATCAGTTTTCTACTTTGAAAATTTTTACATTTCACTTTTTTTTATATACTTTGTCTAGTTTATGTATCCAGGTAATGCCATTTTCATGAATTAGAAAGTACTCCTACCTCTTTTGTGTGTGTGTGTGTGTGTATGTGTGTGTGTGTGTGTGTTTTAAGACATTGTTATGGAATTGGTGTCATTTCCTCTTTAGATGTTCAGTAGAATTTATGAGTAAAAACCATGCACCTGGAGATTTATGTTTTGGAAGACTTTAAAATATAAACTTCTTTCTTAGTTATACAACTAATCAGGTTATCTTTTTCATCTTTGAAGAGTTTTTGGTAGTTTTTAGATTTTGAGGAAACAATTTTTCCTGCTTTGAGTTATTTGAACATTTTTTTAGTCTTCCATTTTAATTTTCCTAATTTTGACTATATATCTCTGCATATTTTTTTAAATTGGTTGTTTTGGGACACCTGGGTGGCTCAGTGGTTAAGTGTTTGCCATTGGCTCAGGGCATGATCCTGGAGTCCCGAGTCCCACATTGGGCTCCCTGCATGGAGCCTGCTTCTCCTTCTGCCCATGTCTCTGCCTCTCTTTCTGTGTCTCTCATGAATAAATAAATAAAATCTTTAAAAATAAATAATAAATTGGTTGTTTTATGGATTACATTATATATTCATAACTTTTTATAGCCTACTTAAAAATCAATTTTTTACTACTTCAGCTAGAGTGTAGAAACCTTACCACCATATACGTCACTTCTCTTCCATTATGACCTACTTTTTTTTCTTTTTTAAGAGAGAGAGAGCGCTCACATGTGCACAAGCTGTGGGAAGTGGGGGCAAAGAGAGAGGCAGAGAATTTCAAGGATACTGCAAACCAAGTGTGGAGCCCAACATGGAGCTTGATTTCACAACCCTGAGATGGTGACTTGAGCTGAAACCAAGAGTAAGATGCTGAGCCGACTGAGATATCTAAGCGCCCTTACTTGTCTTATTATATTTACATCTATATAATGTTGAAATCCCTATCAAACAATGCTGGAATTTTTACTTTCAACCAGAAATCATATTTTTAAAAACTCAAGAGGAGGAAATTTTATTTACTCGTAAATTTAGTTTTTTTGCTCTCCTTTCATTCCTCATATTTCAAGTTTCCTTCTATCCCTGTCTGAACAGCTTCCATTAGTGACTCTGTTAAGAGTTGTCTACTAGCAACACATTCTCTTAGTTTTTCTTCATTATTTTTATTCATCTGAGAATATCTATTTCACCTTTATTCCTGAAGGATGACTTTTACTGGAAGGAGAAAATTCATTATTTTCTTTCAGTGCTTAAAAATGTTGCACAATATTTTTTAAAGCATTCCTTTTAATCTTTGTGGTATCTGGTGAATAATCTGCAGTCATTTGAATCATCATTACCCTATTGATAATTCATTTTTCTCTGGTTGCTTTCAAGATTTTTTTTTTTTCTATCTTTAGTCTTCAGTTTGATTATACATGACTGGGCTTGTATTTCTTTGGGTTTATCATGTTTGGGGTTCACTGAACAGTCTTGAATGTTTAGGTTTATGTGTTTCACCAAATTTAAGTACTTTTCAGACATTATGCTTTCAGATATTTTTTCAGCACCACACCCGTAGTCTTCTCCTTCTGGGACTCCAGTGACACAAATGATAGAACTTTTGTTACTGTTTCATAAGTCCTTTAGACTTTATTCTATTTTTTTTTTGTCTTTGTTGTTCAGATTGGGTAATTTCTGTTTATCTATCTTCAGTTTCACTGACTCTTTCCTGTGGTATCTGCACACTATTGAGTTTATTTCTATGATTTTAAAATTTCATTTTTCACCCCCAAAATTTCCATTTTATTATTCTTTATACCTTCTGGGTTTTTTTAGGCTGTTTTTCCAGTTTGCTTCAAGAACATTTATAATTGCTTGTCGGAACAATGTATATAATAGCTACTTTATCAGGTGATTTCAACCTTTATGTCATTTTTTAATTATTTTTTATTTTTTAAAGATTTTATTTATTTATTTATTTATTTATTTATTTATTTATTTATTTATTTATGAGAGACACACAGAGAGAGAGAGAGGCAGAGACATGGGCAGAGAGAGAAACAGGCTCCATGCAGGGAGCCCGATGTGGGACTCGATCCTGGGACTCCAAGATCACACGTTGAGCCACCCAGGTGTCCCCCTTCATGTCATTTTGGTACTAGGTGTCATCTGTTGTATTTTCTCCTATGAATTGAGATTTTCTTGCATTTTTATATGCTGAGTAATTTTGAGTTGGATCCTGGACATTTTGAATCATATATTATGAGACTCCGGATCATGTTTAAATCTCTTAAGGAAAATGTTGATTTTTTTTTTTTTTTGGATAGCAGGCAGTTGACCTGGTTAGTTTTGGGCTACAAGTTCTTTTTTGTTTGTTTGTTTTTTGGGGTTTTTTGGGGGGGGCTACAAGTTCTAACCCACTTTCTATAGGCTGTGGTTCTAATATCAGTTCATTTTTCAAATCCTTTGTGATGCTGTTCAGATCCATCCTGTGTATATGCAACATCTGTGGTCAGTCTGCAGCCTAGATAGTCCTCTGTTAATTCATTGCTCAGGGTCTTGATATGCCGACTAGAAGCAGGTCTATATATGCGAAGCCGGGGAGTGAGCCCTAGAGTTTATAAACAACTTTATTGTGTGGCTTTCTGAATCTCTCTCCCAAGGATTTTCTGGTTCCCTGAGGCTTCCCTTTTTTGATCTCCTGGCTAAAAGACGGACTTGTAGTTAGTTACCCCACTCTGGCATGCACTTCCCTGACCATGCCTGCGTCCTGGGCCAGCAGACAGGAGGGTAATGCAAAAGGAAACAAAGGTTCACTGCATTGTCTTGAGACCAGAACACCTCGAGTCTAAAAATAAAGTTCTTGAGATGGGGGGTCTTACCAGCTGCTGCCATGGCCCCTGCTACCATAGCCTCAGGGCTGCTGGGAGCTGAGAGGAGAGAGAAGGGGCATCAGGAGTCCCCCTTCCTGCTCCTTGAGCCCTCCTGGAGTGCGTGCTCACTCTCTTTGTGCTGAGTTACGGGTTTCAGGCAGCATTACATTCAGGCTAGAGGTTACTAGAGGGGAAGAGGCGGTGTCATTTAGTGCTGCGTGCTGTGTGCCAGCTTTTATATTGAGTTCAGTGGGGGAGACAGGGTAGGGTGAGCTGCTTCCCTAGAACCGGCATCCCAACGAGGGATTTTAGGCAGGGAATAACACAGTCTAAGTTGCTATTTACTTTTTTGTCCTTAAAGCATATTTTTTCATGTATAATAACTTAAATGCAAAAGTATTACATGTTTAGTGTAACATCACAGCACGGAAGTGCATCAAGTACAAAGTGAAAGTCCGTTGCCCATTCAGCACCACCCCTACCACGTTCCCTGGAGTAACATCTTCTGCTTGCTTGGTATGCATTATTTTCTCTCTGTGGGCTTACATATGTACATGCGCACATACACACCATTTATTTTTTTTTACAAAGGTAAAGTTATATCATTGTACGTTTTTTTCCTGTCGGTACACATATATTGACTTCCTTCTTTTTAAGGGCTGCAGAGTATTCTGTATGGATGTACTATTTAACAATGCTGTATTGATAAACTCTTAAAGTATAATTTTACTTAAAATTTTTAACAGTACTTTATTAATATGTACATTCTTCAGTTTTGTTTTTGTTATTAGTAACAGTGTGATCTGAATAGTTTTTTTTCCCCAGTAGAAACCCTTTCTCAAATTAAGACCATTTTCTTCTGTTTCTGGCTAAGAGCTTTTTTGTTTTTTTCTTTTATAAATTCAGGAATGGATTCTAGGGTTTTTTTTATATTTTTTATTTTTTTATTTTTTTAATTTTTTATTTATTTATGATAGTCACAGAGAGAGAGAGAGGCAGAAACACAGGCAGAGGGAGAAGCAGGCTCCATGCACCGGAAGCCCGATGTGGGATTCGATCCCGGGTCTCCAGGATCGCGCCCTGAAGGCAGGCGCCAAACCGCTGCGCCACCCAGGGATCCCGGATTCTAGTTTTTATCATGCCTTTCAGGCCTTGGTTCTTGTGATTGGCGTTTTGGACAGATTCTCCTGAGTCTGTGGAGGATTGACTGGCGGGGGGGGGGGGGGAAGGCTGGCATCAGGAGCCGGTGGCAGCCTCTTAAGATGCAAAGTTATGAACACTGTAATAAAGGCAATGACCAGGGAGATGTTTTGGAGACACAGTCAGCTAGACCTGGTGACTTATGTGATATGAAAGGAAAAGGGGGAGGGTGCATGGAAGAGAGTTTAGCAGACATTTTTGGTGATGATGTAGAGTGTTCATTAGGTGGCTTAAAGTCTTCTGTAGCCTGAGGCCTTTGAGGCATCCTGGGCTGAAATTTCCTGGAAGAGGGCAATGAAATAAGTTTGAGTGGGATGTGGGTCCAGTCAAAAGTGGTCCCAGACCCAGGGGGAGTCATGGGGGTATGGGGGTGCAATGGAGGAAGCTGTGGGAAGAGGGGTAGTATCATAAGGGACTGGGAAGAGGCCTTCACTTGACAGCTTAAAGCCGCCCCCCCCCCCCCCACCTCAGACCTGTGTCTGCTTCCAGGTTCAAGTTTGGATAGTCAGTCATTTGTGATGCTGCCCCCCAGTGATGAAGTGGTGACCAATCTGGAAACTCTGACAAGTAAATGCCTCCATGGGAAGAACTACTGTCGGCAGGTCCTGTGTCTGTATGAACTTGCCAAGGTACGTGCCCAAGGGTAGGGCCTCCAGGGGAAGCTGAAGTGGGGGAAGCAGGAAGTTGGAGGTAGATTTTGGATACTGCCAAGTCAGCCGTTCATGTGATAATCATGATGAGGGAGCAGATCACTCAACAGGATGTTGGCCCCTGTAAATCCACCCCTGGGAATACTGGGGAGGATGCCAGGCCAAGTGTCGGGCCTTTTTTTTTGTGTGTGTGTGTGTGTGTCGGGCCTTTTGAGTCCTGGCTTTGGGCCAGCCAACCAGAAGTGAGGGCATGACATTTCACACCTCTAGGCTCCTGGTTCTCCATCTATAAGTGACTTAACCATGAAGGTTCCTTCTAGCCCTCTGTCTTTGTCAGCTTCAGGATTGTTGGGGGATTTCCATAGGAGAAAAGCCCAAAATAAGTTGTAAAATAAAATAAAATGGAATGTGATGACTATAAAGACAGGAACCAGGGCAGCCAGGAATCATTTGTGACTTTGTGCTGATTGAGGGCAAAAATAATAGACTCTAAGAAGCAGAGGAGCACAAGAGAAATAATGCCAAGCACTAAAGCCCTTTGGAAGGGCTCCTCTGGAGATTGAGGGCTTTACTGCTGCTGTGGGAACAGTAGAGGAAGGGCTCTTGCTTTTATTCAACTTTCTTCCATTTCGTAACATTTAAAAAGCTCAGTGTTCAACCAGAGATGTCACCTGATGGCTTCTGAAGACAAGCCTTTTTCTTGCTTGGATTCAGCTCATTGAAGTGAAAGAAAGGACTAGAAGACAGTGCTTGCTGTTTCTAAGGTTCCTGCTCAGGGTGAGGGATCTTTAAGCTTAGCCAATAGTGGAGTCTGTCCACATGGGATTTCAGAAAGGCTACATTTTGCGAGCTTTTTCCTGGCTCCTAATGGGAACTTTGACTGTCTTTGCCTTCCTCTCAGGAGTTGGGCTGTTCCTACACAGACGTGGCCGCTCAGGACGGGGAGGCCATGCTCCGGGCAATCTTGGTTTCCCAGCAGCCCGACCGATGCAAGCGAGCCCAGGCTTTCATTAGCACCCAGGGCCTCGAGGCAGACACAGTGGCTGAACTTGTGGCTGAAGAGGTGACCCGGGAGCTGCTGACCCCACCGGAGGGAACAGGTGCCCCACCCTGCAGGCCTCTCATACCCCATTCTCAAGTTCCCAGCAGTAAGGACTTGGATGTTATGCTCCTGTGCTCCTGCACACTGCCCTCTGCCCTCACCAGCTTGCACCTATCAGGGGAGAACATGTGGCATCTATGTTGTGGTTGCTTTTTGTTTATTGTTTTATGATTACGCTTAGAGTAGATGTTCCTTTCTCTGAGCTGATGAACTCCTGCTGACCTATAAGATGACCACTAGGCCAAGGAACGTGAGCTCAGCAGAGTAGAGAGCAGCACGGGGAGCCCCTTCAGCACCCGCTCCAGGTGCCCGAGGCCAGGCGGAGTGGGCCTCCTAGCCAGGGACTATGGCCTCGCACCCAGCTCCCAAGGTTAAAGCAGCACCTTCCTCCCCATCCTTCTCTATAGGACATCAGCAGATGTTTGCCCCAGCAGAGGAAAGCCGGACATTTCTTCAGCTGACCACTCTGTGTCAAGACCGCACACTGGTAGGCATGAAGTTGTTGGACAAGATTTCGTCCGTTCCCCATGGAGAATTATCTTGCAGTAAGTTCATTGGCCATTTTCTTACATGTTTGGGGCCCAAGGAAGTCTCCAAGAAGTCTCCTGGGGTTAGTCTTTCCAAAACTCAGTTTGGATCCTTGTTCCTGCTCTGTATCCCTACCCCTCCACATGGTTTATAAGTTCTTGGTAGAAAGCCATCCGTTCGTTGAAGAAAATTTAGAAAATATAGATAGAAAAGCATCCCAAAATATAAAATCACACAAGCAGGTGACCTTCTAACATTTGGCAGTTAACTTACTCTTCCTCTTACATTACACTGCAAAGTGGCTACTGCAGTCCCCATTTTAGAAGCAGGGGAAGGAAACTGAAGCTCAGAGAAGTTGGATTAATTTGTAGCTGTTGGGCAGCCTGGGTGGCTCAGCGGTTTAGCGTCGCCTTCAGCTTAGGGCGTGATCCTGGAGACCCGGGATCAAGTCCCACATCGGGCTCCCTGCATGGAGCCTGCTTCTCCCTCTGCCTGTGTCTCTGCCTCTCTCTGTGTCTCTTTCATGAATAAATAAAATCTTTTAAAAATAATAATTTGTAGCTCTTAAGTGGCAGAGGTGTTACTGGAACTCAGACGATGTAACTCCAAAATCTCGCTTTCCACAATGTGTAGGCATTCAGTAGTCGTATGTGTCCCTCTGACCTTCTATAGAAGTCTACAGGCTTTTATTTTTCAAAAATGGCATTATCCTGTGTATATAGTTTATAATGTATGAACATCATTCCATGACAATATTCTATATAATTTTTACAGGTTACACAGTATTTCTCATAGAATGAAAAATTTTATACCCTAATTTGGGACCTTTACATGGCTTCCAGTTTTCTGCAGTTTCAAACACTGTGACAAACATCCTTATAGGCAAGTTTATATGCCTATGTGTGATTATTTCCCTAAGATAAATAACTGATTTAAGAGTATACCCATTTTTAAAGCTTTATATATATTACCACATTTTACTCCAAAGCTGATAAGGTCAAGGATCTCAGAGGACTGATGGGGAGCCCTCCCAGACAGGCTGTCTGTATTGGCCCCTTCACCTTCCTGCCAGGATTCACAATCCTGTCTTACCACTGCCTCACCTCCCCAGCCACAGAGCTGCTGATCCTGGCCCATCACTGCTTCACACTGACATGCCACATGGAGGGTATCATCCGAGTCCTGCAAGCTGCCCGGCTGCTCACGGACAAACACCTGGCCCCCAATGAAGAGTACGGGCTGATGGTATGTAACCCCCTGATCCCCTACCATTCATTCTGAGGAAAGTTTTGAACAGATAGGCTGGCAACCAGTTCAAAGCTGACAAGGTCTTAGGGAATTTGCCCACCTGGATACCACTACCTACTTGGGAGCTGGCTGGGCCACTCAATGCTCTGCTCCAGGTTATGAATTGCTGTCAAAATCAGAGATTGCTCTAAAGGAGCAGATGTCAGGAGGATCCCTGCCATGCTCCAGGGCTGGCCTACTCCCTTGCCAGGGCAGACCGTTTTTCTAGAGGGCTAAGGCAGCTAGCTGTTTCCCCCCAAAACAAGGCTCAGTGTTATCTCTGAATTGAAATGAGTGGACAGCTCATGCCCCCGGTGCCTCCCCAAATTCTCTAGGCTTGAAATAAACCCAAGTGACTGAGCAAGCCACTGGGCAGTAAAAGGAATGGTGGGGAGAGGAAGAGTGCCTGCCCACAATGTCACGTTGGCACTTAAGAGTCACGTTTACAAACACAGGAGGCAACAGTCAGTGGTGTCTGTGTGACAAGCCTTTCTGAACCTTCCACGGTAGATGCCTGCTAGGTACACGGGAAGGGAGAGGGGGAGCCTGGCATTAGCCCTTCTGCCTCCTGGAGCTTGGCATCTGGAAGCAACCAAACTGGTGAGGGTAGTGGTGTTCTGGCTCAGAGAACTCCGGCTGATGCTGATGCAAGTGGCCCTTGCCCTTTTCAGGTACGCCTCCTCACTGGCATCGGAAGGTACAACGAGATGACGTACATATTTGACTTGCTGCATAAAAAGCACTATTTTGAAGTGCTGATGAGGAAGAAGTTGGATCCGGTAGGTGTACAGTATTTTGAGCTCCAGGATGGCATAGACGGTTGACATTCAGGAGTCTCAGGCTTCTTAGGAATAATCCTAATCAGGGTGGACCCCCTGGGATATGGAGGGAGGGACTTAGAGGAGTCCCCTGGACACAGATGGTAGCTTAAGATTAGTTTCAGACAAGGCAGCAGGTATGCCAACACATTCAATAGTGAAGAAAACGAGTTTGTGCATTTGCACCTAAGCCTCTGTTCTGTGTGTGAATGCTGGCTCTGGCAGGGGCAAAATCTTTCCTGTGAACTATGTGGAAGTGGATTAACCAGGTCAGAAGCGGAGAGTTTTCAGGGGACCATGAGAAAGGGTTAGGATAGTGGATGCTGAAGCCTGGGCCTGGAAGGCTGTGGAGAGCGATTTATGATGACGACCAGGAAGGAGGCTTGGAAGCAGAGGCCTGACTTGGCAGGCCTTTAGGCTCTGGGCGCTTGTCTGTCTTCAGCGTGGTGATAGCAGGTGTGTCACTTACAGAGCTTCTGCTTCCAAGTCATTCATTCGGCGGATTCATTGCGTCAGCCTTTATTTCCTCTGAAGATTTGAAAACCAAGGCACATTTTTGTCTTCTGGGAACTTGGGCTCAGCCCAGCAGGACTGAGTCAAAGCACAAAAACCCTGCCCAGTGCTGGGCTAGTTTCAGGACAACCCAGTGCCACAGTCAGGAGGAGGAGTCCTGGACCTAGGTACACCCTCAGGACACCCTAGCGGGTTTTTAAGATTGCTTTTGAGGCATTTTTGTTTCTGCGTGTAAACATTCTTTTAATAACTTTTTTTCTGATTACAAAAGTAATGCATATTCAGTGTAAAGACACTTGGAAAACAGTCCACCAAAGAAAAAAGCCCTGTGTGTCTATCGACCATCTAGAGACCGCCACTGCTAACAATTTGGTATAGGCCCTTTCTCTGTACATGTACCCACAGAGATACATACATATATACATATTTTTAGCAAAACTTTTAACATGCTGTGTAGATATGAAATAGCCTGCTTTTCTCACTTAATAGGCAGATCACAAATATTTTCCAAACCAACATTGCTTTTAATGGCTACATGGTATTCTCTTAATCCAGATGTCTAAAACAAGGGCATTTCTAATTTTTTGCTATTAAATACCTTTGCTACATCCATCTAAGCACTTCTCTCTTATTTTGTAAGGGACAAATTCCTAGAAAGAACATTGCTGGAGTAATGCATATGTGCACATATTTTAGGGTTCTCCCCTCTGACCGGTTCTATGACACACATTCCCACCAGCACAGAGGATGTGCCTGTTTTCTTACACACAGGGTAGCATAACCTTTCGTACTCATTTTTGGTTATCTTTTCCTGTTTTCTTGAGAATTTTTAAGGAACTTTCAGAACCAAGGGACTCAGGCGTTCACGCCTACCTCGCAGTCACTGGTTGACCTCAGTACTCCTTTTTTCCTGGGCAGAGTGGCTCCCTGAAGACTGCCCTACTGGACTACATCAAACGCTGCCGCCCTGGGGACAGTGAGAAGCACAACATGATCGCTCTGTGCTTCAGCATGTGTCGGGAGATTGGGGAGAACCATGAGGCAGCTGCCCGCATCCAGCTGAAACTGATCGAGTCTCAGCCCTGGGGTGAGCAGAAGTCATGGCAGCACCCCCAGGCCAGTGCGGCCAGCCATCAAGGGCCCTTAGGGCTCAGAAGGGCAAGAACCCTTGAGACTGACTAATACCCACTTCGGCTGCTAACATCCACTCGGTTGGGGCCCCATCTGAGCAGCGAGATGGAAGGGGATTTGGAAGGCACCTGCCCAGCTTGTCCCATGTGCACCTAGGGTGTCATCCATCAGGAAGTGGTGTGTGTGCTGAGGCCTTGCAAGCCTGCCTTGATGTCTGAGAACTAGAGGCCTCCTCCAGAGCATGTGCACTTCTGGCCCAGTAGCTTTTACCCAAGTGACATATCTGCCTCCCTGTGAGCATGAGCTGGAATATTTTAGTCCAGCCCACCATCACTGAGCAGGATGGGAGCAGCCAGCCTTGGGAGTCACACATCCACCAGGTTTCCTTCTCTCTCCTACAGAGGACAGCCTCAAGGATGGGCACCACCTGAAGCAGCTGCTGCTGAAAGCCCTGACTCTGATGCTGGATGCAGCCGAGAGCTATGCCAAGGTAACCATAGAGTCATTTCAGCCCGGCCTCAGGGTCTGCAGGATGATTTGATTTTGTCCCTGGGCTCTTCCAAGTGAAGGGAGACGCAGCCTTGGGCCAACTGAGGGCAGAAGGGGTGAGTTCAGTTGCTGGCAGATTCATAGCGGGGATGACGACAGTCTATCTGTGCCTCCCTCTACCCCCGTCCCTCAGGACTCCTGTGTGCGACAGGCCCAGCACTGTCACCGGCTCACCAAGTTGATAACACTGCAGATTCATTTTCTGAACACTGGCCAGAACACAATGCTCATCAACCTGGGCCGCCACCGGCTGATGGACTGTATCCTCGCTCTACCTCGGTTCTACCAGGTAAGCAAGGAAGGAAAATCCAGCCAGCACTGGTGCCAGCATCCTCTCTCCTGCCATCCCTCTCAGCGAACCCATAGGTTGAGTGACTTGCCTAAGGTGTCAAGTCTAGTGACAGAACCAGGACATTTCTAAACTTTTAACTTTAGCTGTCTGATAAACCAAACAGCCTTTCCATGGCAGTATTTATTAGCATATTGTTTGGACAGAGGTTGGAGAATGATGAGGTGATCTGGTCTCCCTTCCTTGTGCTGCCAGGCCAGCAGGAAGGGAGACCACCTTGCCCCTTAGATGAGGTCTGGAAGAGCAGACCTGCTGGTGGGCCAAGCATCGCTTAGCCCCAGTGTTTCTAGGATGGTGCATCTAGCTTAGCAGACGGAGTCAGGGCTTCTGGCCTTGAATGAGAAATAGTTACCAGGGAATCAGCCCTTCCCTGTTCCTTACAGTTGAGTTAGTGGGGGAAAATATTGTTTCTCAGCAGTTTTTATTAATGCATTGATGCATTGTGAAGACTGAAAACACTCAAGATGTCTGGGATTTAAGGGCAGAGAAATGCCAAACATCAAACTTTTCCCCAACCCTAATACATAAAGCCTTTCAACATACTTGGTGATTCTCACATCACTGTGAATGTGCAGTATTAAGTTACTTTCTAGAACAGCATGCCTTCAGTTTTACATCCAATAGGGCCTAATGGTATCTTCTTCTCTATCCTTTTAAGGCTTCTATTGTGGCCGAAGCCTATGACTTTGTTCCTGATTGGGCAGAAATCCTCTACCAACAAGTGATTCTTAAAGGAGACTTTAATTACCTGGAAGAATTTAAGCAGCAAAGGTTATTAAGATCCAGTATATTTGAAGAGATTTCAAAAAAGTAAGTATTAAAATGCCTCTGCTTTGAGGTAAGACGTGGGCAAGAATTTTATAGCTAAATAGGACATGCCAAAAAAAAAATAATAAAATAAAATAAATAGGACATGCTTGTAGCTAGCTACCTCTCTGCTTGAGATGGCAAACAGATATCAAGAATCCCCATTAAAAGATCCTTTAATAAAATGATGCACAGTGCTCCATAATTAAAATCGGAGGACAACTACTCAGCTTGTCTGAGGTGCCCCAAAACTCTCAACCTCAGAAGCCCCTTGGGAGTATTGCATTGCACTTACCCCAAATAAGGTGAGCATTAAGCTAACATTTTTAATGAAATCATTTCAGCGTTTAGCTCGCAACCCCTAACGCTAGTCTTAAATAATTCCTCAAATTCCAGGGTCCTCTCCTTTGTAAGTAGCTGTGTCAGAGCAGATAATCCTTGCTCAAGATAGCGTCTTAACTTGTACCTTATGCCCCTTTGTCTTAGATATAAACAACATCAGCCGACAGACACGGCTGTGAAAAACCTGAAAAAGTTACTCACATACTGTGAAGATGTCTACTTGTACTACAAGCTCGCATATGAACACAAATTTTATGACATTGTGAATGTGCTTCTGAAGGACCCTCAGACTGGCTGCTGTCTAAAGGACATGCTAGCAGGTTAGGTGGATTCAGACGCTAGGAGGGTGGCTACTGCCAAGGTGTCCTGGGTGCTTGTGTTCTTGTACTGAGATGAGGTGCTGACAGGTATTTGCAATCGGAGAAGAATAGACTGACCTGGTAACCAGTCCTCTGTGAATAGGGGGTAAAGAATGAATTTTCACAAGGTAATAAGTATTTAAAATTGATTGTTCATCTATACCACTTTATATAGATACTGGTATTAAGATCAAAAGCTCCATCTTCCTATTTAGATATACAGTATTGATTAAAGAATATCTGTGCCTGCAGATTCCAGTTTCAAAGGAATTTAATATTATTTACACAGTTAAGGAACAGATGATACATTTCCATTTGTTAGAAACTGATCTCTATAATAAAATAGATTTTAAATTCACTGTATGTCATTATTACTGCCAAGGAAATCTTAGCCCTTGTCTACCTTAAAACAATCTTTATTTGCTGTAATTATTGCTGCATAGTCACTGCATCCTGTTAATTCCTCCAAATCATTTAGATGGTCCTGTCTTATACTCAGTACTCTACCGAACTTTGACTGAGGTTCCTAGTTCCTATTTAAGAGAAATTTAAAACATTTTTTGTTCTGTCCCTACTTTTGATTCTCTGATGGTTTCAAAAAAGACTCCAACCACAAATTTGGTTAAATTGCTTAAAAAGAAAATATACAATAAAGATCACCCAATCTATGCTTACAGCCATAACCTGAGTAACAAGCTCAATTATTCCAAATAAATAAGCTCTTCTAGGTAATAGGCCTTGGTATCTAAACAACCAAATAATTTGCCCAAATAAATAAGAGGAGGAAGGCAGCCCCATACCTTTGTTGCTCTAGGGTGACACTATTCAAAGCCTGGCATGTCATTTTTTTCTTAAAGCTGTAGCTTCTTGTCAGGCATTATTTATTAAGCTTTATAAGTATACAGAGAACTCTAGTCCCAAGAGCCGTGTTCTATATTCTCCAAAAATACCTCTTGGGAGTTAACACAAATTTTAAGTCCTCACAATAGTGATTTTATTAAATTAGTTGCTTTATAAAACATTGCAGATGTCATAATTGTTAACATAACAATTTACCAAACTGTAGTCAACTGGTGCAGTTTGCTGAGCATGTTTTATAAAGGAAAGCAAATGCCAAAACCCTGTTAAAGTTGTTCAACTGCAGCTGAGGAGAACAAAGGAGAATTGTTTCTCAGACACTTAAATCAGGGAAAGAAAACAGGTAAAGAGCTTCCCTCCCCCATGTGAAGCACTCTGTCAGCAGAACGGTCTGATAAATAGAAAGTAGACAGTCTATGCACTTGAGAGATTCCACAAGTTGTAATGCAACACAACGGAGAGGTTTACCTTCTTCAGCTTCAAAGTTGGAGGGTTTTGGTCATTTTAATTTTTAAATATCAAGCTAGTGCTTTTCAGCCGTTTTATCTTCACTCTGAGATAAGCAGTCTTCTTCACAATGTAATTTAATATCCTCACGCTCAATTTTAAGACACAGCAATTTTAATACTAGGTGCACACCTCATGCCCTTGCTGCAAACTGCTTTTCTTGACAAGTTATGAAGTAGTTCAAGGAGGTATGGTTAAGGCTGTATTACTGAATGGTGCTGGTAAATACTACACAATTTTTGTCATGTTGCAACCTTTGTTTCCAAGTCAGTGACTGCTGCTATGGAATCAGATAGCAACAATGACAACATTATTAGGTTTGTTTTTTTAAACTATGATTTAGTAGCAACTGAGGTTCCCAATTTTAACCCCTTGGCAGCAAGATCCAAGTTCCCTCATTCGCACATTAGCACCTAAGTGTCAAGGGGTTAAATAACCAGCACAAAAGATACTGCACTTCTGATTGTAGCATTTGGCAGAACTGAAAGGAAAGGAAGTTGTGCTACATGTTGAAGGGATTGTGGGCAACAGAAAGAAGACACCAGGAGAAGAGAAAATGTCACATGAAGTCTTCATAGTCTTGTACATATCCTCCGTCATAGCCGCCATAATCTGCCAGATCGTCTTTCATGGTGGCCTTTAATCCCCCTCCAGGGACCACACCTTTCTTCTTCTTTTTGGCTTTGCTTTGCTGAAGATAAAAAAAGTTTTAATTCATGAGACTACCTACTATGGGCACCTTTTCTGGTACAGAAACTCTCAGACCCCAAAGCCTCTGGTACCAAAAAAGCTTCAGTTCTCAAAGGGAGATCTCAGACCTAACCCAGGGAAATCGCTACTAATTCCAAAAAGAAAACAAAAGGATGGTAATGGCACTCACACTCCTGGCGCTCTGTTCCAGTTTAGCTTTAGTTCAGGCTCCTACGACACTCGAAACTATTATGCCAACGCCCCATTCTCAAATAATTTCCCTCACATGCTTGCTCTTACCTTTTCTTGCTTTTGTTTTTCACTGCAAAGCACGGTCAATGAATTGGTAATCTTTTTCAAGTCATCAATTTCCACTAAAAAAAAAAACAAAAAACAAAAAAAAATCTAATTTGGCCATCATTAACTCCAGTAACTGAAAAGGCTATGAATTTGTCCTGTTAAACATAAGACGGTGGGCAGCCTGGTGGCTCAGCGGTTTGGCGCTGCCTTTAGCCCAGGGCCTGATCCTAGAGACCCAGGATCAAGTCCCACGTCGGGCTCCCTGCATGGAGCCTGCTTCTCCTTCTCTCTGCCTCTCTCTGTGTGTCTCTCATGAATAAATAAATAAAATCTTAAAAAAAAAAAAAACAAAAACATAAGATGGTAAAGAATCATTCTGGGGATGCCTGGGTGGCTCAGTGGTTGGGCGTCTGCGTTCAGCTCAGAGTGTGATCCTGGAGTCCCGGGATCAAGTCCCACATCGGGCTCCCTGAAGGGATCCTGCTTCTCCCTCTTCCTCTATTTCTGTACCCCCCCACCATGAATAAATAAAATCTTTTAAAAACATAAAGAAAAATGGCAAACTTAGGAACAAAAATTTCTTTGTAGTGACCTGTGATAACCAAGACACCACTGTTAACGGAAGAGAAACTACAAGTGTCTTTAGAGCTCTCACAATGCTCCCTACCATACTTCCTTACTCAATTTACACAAGCAAAAGAAGACACATGGAGGATTAACCAGGCCTTTCCACAACACATCCTCAATGCACAGTGAGAAGTGGCTGAATGAACGTGGTACAATTCTTTTTTTTTTTTTTTTTTACGTGGTACAATTCTTAAATTACAAATGACAACTCTTGGGCAGCCCGGGTGGCTCAGCGGTTTAGCACCACCTGGGATCGACTCCCACTTCAGGCTCCCTGCATGGAGCCTGCTTCTCCCTCTACCTGTGTCTCTGCCTCTCTCTCTCTCATGAATAAATAAATAAATAAAATCTAAAAAAAAAAAAAAAAAAAGACAACTCTTCACCCCTTCTCCATTTTCTACCACAGAACCAGAATGAAGAGTCAGTGTCTCAGAAATGTAAGTGTCCTACTAGAAAAGAAGCCTGTTTATGGGAGAACACACCCTTTCATCCTTACAAAAATATCAAGCTGGAAACAGACAACAGTTTTTAGCTATCAAAAAAGTGTTTCAGTTTTGGTTAGAGAGCACCTTCACAAATGAAACTGTAAGTTCATTGTATAGAATTCCTTTTTCTCAATCTTAAAAACAGTCCCTTCCATAATTAGTGCCACACCACCCCTGGTTTTTAACTCCCACACACCCTGCCTCTGAAATGCATGACTCTTCTTAGGGCACGCACCACACCCACAGACCCAGAGAACAGGTAGCAGCAATATTGAGCAACTTAAACCTAGTCACAGGCTTCCTTGTTTGTAAAATGAACAGATACTAGTTGTGGTCTCGCTCTGCATTAAAATCCCATATGCTCAGGGATCATTTTCCCAAAAAGACACTTCCTAGTCTTTTAAAGATATAATTAGGTAAAAGAATAAGCTAGTGTTTTATTAGCTGCTGGGTCAGCAAAGCTCAGTTGTCCCTTTTGGGAAGCCATTATAAAAACATTAAAAAGGCAGCCTCAAAAAAACAAAACCACTCACACTCACTATTTGCAGAACATTCCCAAGGTAACTTCTAAAAAGCAAATCCTAAGTTTATTATAGAATGCAAAAAAAAAAAAAAAAGTCAACTTCCATCCTCCTGAGTACGAATCCAACGACAGATTAGAAATACTTACATGAAATACACACATCTCGAACTAAGGCTTCCAAAAAACTGGCATAATATAGTGACTTTTCATATTGTGTAATTTTATCTTTTAGTAACTTCCCAAACTCTGTGAAGTCATCTCTTGAAGATGGGTTCATAGCATCTATTCCATAAACTGTATTATTAACACCTACAAGAGAAGAGGGAACACTAAAAATTCTAGATTTTTTTTCAAGTTTATAAACCAGTTAGTTAGCTGAACAACCCTGTTACTTCACGCTATAGCACAGGTTCTTAACCTAGATCCACTGAAGCGCTTGGACAGCATTCAGGAAGTCTGTGAATTTAGATCAGAAAAGCAGTTGAGCCTCTGCCCCTGGCCCAGGGCGTGATCCTGGAGTCCCGGGATCGAGTCCCACGTCGGGATCCCTGCAGGAAGTCTGCTTCTCCCTCTGCCTGTGTCTCTGCCTCTCTCTCTCTTTGTCTCTCATGAATAAATAAATAAAATCTTTAAAGAAAAAAAAAATTTACAGGGATGCCTGGGTGGCTCAACGGTTGAGCATCTGCCTATGGCTCAGGGTCTGATCCTGGAGTCCTGGGATGGGTCCCACATTGGGCTCCCTGGATGGAGCCTGCTTCTCTCTCTCCCTATGTCTCTGCCTTTCTCTCTCTCTCATGAATAAATAAAATCTTAAAAAAAAAATTTACAGCTTTATTTTCACTAACCTCTAATTTATCATTTCCTTCCATTTTCATTACAGGCAACAAATCACAGTGATATTAGCAAAACCTGTTATCAGTAAAGATTTTCATATCACATTACAGTTGTAATTACCATGAAATACTGTTTTTAAATTATATTACTTATTAACCTGCCACTAGATCTTATTTAATGCATTAATAAAGGAGCACATTACTGAATCAAGTTATTTTAATATTTTGATATCCATTTCAATATAAAAGTAAAATCCTGTGTGTTTTATTCATTTAAAAACATTAAATTGGAAGAGACCCACAGTCTTCAGCAGACCACTGAAGGAGCCCCTGGTATAAAAGGGATTTTATTTAAAGTGACTTAGAAGTTATTTAAAGTATAGCTCTAAGAATAGCCCACAGTAAAGTGCGAAGAGAAGGAAAAAGCAAAAAAAAAAAAAAAGAAAGAAAAGAAAAGAAATAGTTCCTGAGAAAGTATCCAGCTAACTGACTCCAGAGGCTAATAAGCAGGGGTAAACCATGTGTCAAATCCCAA